TACATATATTAAACGAAATTAGGCTTTCATCATCAACATTACGAATGTAGAGAGAGAACAAAAATACAATAAATAGGTCAAGTAAAACTAACCAAACAGTAGATCTTTCAAGTAGGCTTAGCATATGGGCAGTTGCAAAGATGATGTGACGGTAGCCGTCAATTTATCAGTTGAGTGAGATTAAGTGAATGAATTATATCCAGTAAACGAGCAGTATGTATATTACTCGGATCGTCTATATGAATGTTGAAGTCACCAGTAATGACAAGATTTGAAGATAAAGAATATTGTTCTAAAAGGGTCGAAAAGTCAGAGAAAAATTATTGTATTGCTGTATATTAACACACAACGGAAGTTAATGATCAAAATCCAATTGATTACCACTACTTCTACATAGGCCACTTATACCATCATATACATTTTAAATACGGTAACCAATCATTGATCAATCAACTTTTTCCTGAAACGTTCATCGTCGTGTAATTGTATAGGTACCTTTATTATCATACATACATACATAATTAATTAATTATATACTTTATTCCAAAATACAAATAAATTTTCTTCTTGATAACCTACAAATTTAAGTAAATTATTAATTTAAATACTTTAATGTATGCAAGTGTCTGCCGATTAATGAATCACCCAAAGCGAATCCACAACTGATTAAAGATTTAACAAACAATATTGCTGTATATTAACACACAACAGAAGTTAATGATCAAAATCCAATTGATTACCACTACTTCTACATAGGCCACTTATACATTTTAAATACGGTAACCAATCATTGATCAATCAACTTTTTCCTGTCGTATAATTGTATAGGTACCTTTATTATCATACATAATTAATTAATTATATACTTTATTCCAAAAAAAAACAACACATTTTTATTAGTAATCGTTATTCCAACACATTTTTATTATTAATCGTTACTTCAAAAAACACATTTTTATTAGTAATCGTTATTTCAACACATTTTTATTATTAATCGTTACTTCAATCGTTATTAATATTAGATTCCCCTGTACCACCACCTAACCCGCAGTCAACGTTGCACTGTACTGTACAGCGACATCCAATTCACGCTTTGATTATACACTACACGGCGTTCCATACAATAACCCTTATTTGGGCATTGAATATCTTACGGCCGAACAAGTTTACGGCCGAACCGGTCCTACTCCGCATAGTACGAGCATGGTCTGAATGTCGTGCAGTTTGCACAATTTGCAAATTAATTGTACAAGTTCTTCTTTGCTTGGACAATTTGCACACTCTGCAAGTATTTCTTTGCACAATTTGTTAAAAAACAAGCTGTTGTACAGTTGTTATAAATTACGTGAACAATTTGCAAACTGTTCAGGCCGTGTAGGCCTAGGGGCCTAGGCCGAATAGCTCGTGCACATTTTAATCGATATGTATATTTTGATACTACTTGGGGCCTGGTTGGGTAGGGCCTAGGCCTATTCTATTTATTCTTCTGTTGAGAGTACTGACAATAGGTTAGTACTAGCCTAGTTAGTATGTAGGTAGTTTAGTAGAGTAGCCTAAGCTAGTGGCTGCATGACAGGTGCCGTTTGAATGAATAATACTGTAAAATCGGGGTCATGTGGGTATTATCTGGATTGGATATGCGTGGGGTGGGTAGGTGAGGGAAGATGCGGAGTGGGTAGGTAAGGTGATGCTTAGGACGTTTTCGGGGGTCTTATTTTTTTCACTTTGAATAATGAGGCCCTACTACAGTCTGATAGTCATTTATTATGATTATTAATAGTCTTTCTTGTAATTCTGTAGTTATAATGATCATTGTTGTTTGTGTGCCAATATACTGGCTTACTTTTTTACATGAAGTAGAAAAGGTAGCCTTGTTAATCTGGATGATAAACAGTACTTTTCACACAACTTTTTTTTTTTTTTTTATTAATGCACAAGCTTCGACAACACAGTGGTCTTCATCAGGCAGGGGTTTAGCCAGGCTGTCAAAAATGGAAGCGAGTGAGAGTGGCACTGAGCCAATGGGTGGGCCATGCCCAACTTTGGGAATCGCCACTGAACACTGGAACGAAAACAATGTACATTCAATCATTAAATTTTGTTTTTATCAAACGTAAATATGATTTAACTTCACTTTAATGTAACATTAATATTCCATCCAAGGGCATTTAAAATATTATCAACAGAAAGTAAAATTCTACCTAATCTATTCATAAGAACAGTTAAAATTTTGAACATTACAATTAGACCAGACACAACAACAATAATAAAAAAAAGAGGAAAAATTAAAATATTTGCTAACATTTTAAGCGGATAAGAAGGAAGAAAATATTTAGTACGTCGGATGACACCAATACGCTTTGAAACATTGGATGAAATATTGTTTATATGGTCATTCCAAGTTAACTGTGGATCAAAGGTGACGCCAAGGAAGACCACTGTGTGGTTGAAAGCTCACAATGTGCATTAATACAGTTTGTTAGTCTGAAAGTGCTGTTTGTCTTTACAGTAATTTAATTTTAATATTATATAAAGTTTACAGGAAATATAAATTTTTGAATGAACAATCTTATTGTTTTTTACAGAGGAAAATTTTCGGAAGATGCTTCTCGCAGTAAGCAGAGAATGTACAGAACAAGAGAAGAACATGCTGCAAGTTCTTCTCAGAAATTACCTCAGTAACCTCACTGAGGTACAGGGTGCGAAGTCTGTCCTTGAATTACTTGATATGCTCATAAGAGAAGGGCACCTGACTAGAAATAACTTGGACATTCTATACGAATGCATCAAGCTGATTAATGCTTATCATTTGCAAGATATAATTAGAAAATATTGTAGCTGCCCAGATATAAAAAATCATGAAATTAAATTGATTCCAAAAGAAAGACAGGCTATAATCGCATGTGGAAATGCATTGACAAAAAAAGAAATTGGTGAACTTGAATTTATATATAAATTAAATAATTCCCGTGATGTTTGGGACTTCTTGGTAAAACTGGAAGATAAATTGGACATAGGTCATGATAAGACGAAGATGGACCAATTCTTGTCGCAATTGAAGGATTTGAATATGTCAAGACCTCTACAAAAAATGGAGTTGAGTAAGTACAGAGAATATCAGTTTTACAACTCGTAACGGTATGTGCAGTAGAATAACCTGTAACTCGCAGTGCCATTATTGGGCAGCAATACGTTTTCACTACAATGTAAATACTGTACTTTAATACCCGTAGAGAATAATACTGTACTGCGAGCTTGCCTTATGATTCTTTTTTCTTTTTTCAATTCAGTTTTAAAGGATAAAAGACCAGAAGAAAGGCCAAGTGAGTACCTTGTTTCATTATTACCAACCCTGATATGACCTGTATCACACATTGAAGGTTCGCTGAATTGAATGCTCAATGGTGCACAGAGTCTAAAATTGGTTGGGGAGCATGCCATTTTAGTTGGACCATATTCATCCTCGTACAGTTTCATATAAAAATCAAAACTTCTTGCTGCCTAGTTGAACAATATAATAGTACAGTACCGATTTATTTGTACTTTAATGCATTGTATATTGTTTTGTATAGACCTCTCTACCTTTATAAAATATTTTCTTAAGTACAGTACAGTATACATAAAACATTGTTAATGATGGTTTTATCTGAATAGAAAGACATTGTGACTGTCAAAAGAGAAAGAGAAGATTGGTTGAAAATGCATCCAGGTTGAGACAGGCAGAAATACCAGGTATTTTTATTCTTTTTTATGCATTACATTTTGTGAGCATTTCTTTGATGTGGATCATGCATGGAAAAAATTTATCATTACTGTATTTTTAGTGTTCAGGGTTCATATCTGGTGACAGCTCCATTTTTTAAGCCATGATACAGTACAACCAAAAAGAAAACTTTACACTACTCTATATCTATTAAAATAAACTTGAGGGCCAGCGACATATATTTGAAGGCTGTAGCATGGAGTGACGGGGGTTGCGAGATGGACCAGTACATCTGGGTAACCCCCTACTCGGTTTTTTATAGTATAGTGCATATGAGCCTAGTCTAACCCTGAAGATTTGTGCCACTTGAACCACCGCTGATATTGTGCCTATTGGCTGCATGGCCCAGCCATAAGTTAACTGTTCGGCCATTTGGCCTATATTAAGGAGAGTACCCCTCCCTCTATGCTAATTAAAAGTTTCCTTTTTTTCTCTTCTTGCAGATTATTTCCCACTAAGAAAGAATAATCAACCTACCATGGTATTAAGGAGCAAATGCCAAGATAATGGGCATTGCAGCTATAAGAAGCCACGGATTAGTGATGCACACGGTGGTAAAGAAAACATTCCTCTGGACTATTAAACATTTTGTTTTAAAGATTTTAATCTAGACCTGTATATAAGATTGTTTTCAATACAATAATTGAATATTTATTACTGCAGATTTTCATTAAAAATTAACCCTCATTTGCATCAAAATCCTAGGGTGCTTTGAATTAGGTATTGTGCACTAGAACATATTTTAAATGTTTTAATTCAATGAATGGTTTTGAAGCAGTGGACTTTCTTCCCTTTATATAATTTAAAATTTTTAAACTAATGTAGTATATGCTGTTTACTTTTAAGCTTTATCCAAGTCTCTCACACTCGCTTCAATAATTAATAAAACTTTGAATACAGTACAGTATCACGATTTCTAATGTGATTGTTTTTATATGTTAATATAACAAATAAATATTTAAGCTTTAATTGTTACATTTCATAATAATTTTATAACTCTTAACCAGGCAATGGTTTTGATAAAAATGTCACAAGCATAATTCATCATGTAAATACTTTATAAAAATTAGGTAAAATTCTGTACAATGCTAAATCATAATTTAAAAGATCTTAACTGTCTACTGATATACAGGTCTACCTCCAAATAAGGGCCACTTTTGGGACTGGGTTTCCATGGTCTGTAATTAGAATAATAAGATACAGTCAAACTTGCCTAAGTTGACGTGTTTTCCATTAACAATCTGTAAATCGAAAAATATTTCAAGGGCATTTTGGATTAGACAAGTTCAGCTGTAATATACACCAGATAAAAGAGATTAGTTGATATGGGACCATAGAGAGGTGGTCTTATATTGGAGGGAGACCTGTACTCACAACATACAGGTATGAACTGCTTTTTTGTATATTGCTGGTAGAAAATTAGAGTTACAAAATTATCAGTAGACAATCCTTAGAGTGGTTAAATAAATAAATTTCTAATACAGTAATCTGTTTATGTTTTCATTGTTGTGTTTCTTTGTACTTAATGAACCTAATCAGATTCATCTTAGCATTCTGTACGATTGGAAGACGGTCACCCAAGTTGCCTTTGTTCTGCCGCATCTGTAAGGAATTGAAAATTATAAACATTTAGATATATATCGACTGCCATAATGTAAAAAAAATGAATTGTACATCACATCATATCAGATATTAAGCAAATTGGTGAGAAAATATTCCTATATTTATTCTCTGTACTGGGAAGCAGTTCATTCCTATCCTCATTTTCAGATAAAATAATCAACAATAGATATTCCGATGGTGTATTTCTTTCAGGAGAAAGGATACAAAATGATCGCAAGCTCGGTGGTCTAGTGGTTAAGACATCAGGCTAGTTAACCTGAAGATCGTGGGTTTGGTTCCCACCCGAATCACTTGCAATATTTTTGTTGCATCTGAAAATGTACTGAGCAAACATCATTTCATAAACAATAGATATTTTAAAATTAAGTCGTACGCTTCATATCGACGATGAGGTCATCAAAAATCCCGAAAATACACAAACGGTCTTTTTCATAGCAACCATAAGTAAAAAGACTATAACAATAAACTATAACAATAAACAAAACATAATGCAACATATTTTCATTAAACAGCAACTTTGATTGAGTCTAATACCGGGTTGTTATAATCTAAAACCATGTGAACTGAGTGAGATGAACAACTACCGATGGTGCTCAAAATAACTGGTTTCCTCCTTAGCTTCGTGTGGCAATCCATGGAAAAACTCGAATTTTCTACACAAAGCTGAGTAGACAGTTTCGTACACGAACGCCAATTGGTTGGCTCGCCCAGTGCAATGCACATGGTTTTAGTTTGTCTCAGCAGGCCCAACTCTGTTGTTTAGAATAGCCATGAAAGGGAATTCCCAAGTTATACCTTTGTCGTATAGGTAATCTTACAATTTATTTTCATGTTCTTTAGTTAAATAAGATATAAAATGATGAATTAATACACTAGACACATGGTTTTGTTTGAACACTTTATTATGACATCGTAAAGTGATGAATAAAAACACAAAACATGTGGTTTTATTCGTAGGCCTAGAGCCTAGGTCTAGCCTACTAGGTAACATGTTTCGTTAATACATACGTTTATTGAGCGTTACGTATGTATTAGGTCAAAGGTTACCACTGTATTCAGTTGTGTAAAGGGAAAGAACACTAACCTTAGATTTGAGTTGAGGGACCATATTCCTTAACTTCACAACCAGATTGATTCGTTCTGCAACCACATCAGCAGTCTTCCCGTCACCAAACGTGTCAAAGATTGCGTCCAGTGCCTCGGCAATCACCCATATAGATGGATCTTTGGTTGCGATGTCAATCAGCTGAATGCCTACAGCCTGTTGCAAACAATTACAGGGAAGGAGGAGGAACAAATCAATGTCAATGTTGTTTTCTCCAGCGCCTTTCATAAATTTTTGAATTGGCGCTATATAAATGTTTATTATTTTATTATTATGTCGTTGATTTTATTGGTGTCGGAAAGAAAGCTAGATAACATCCTTCTCATCCATTGGTGGATTCAAGGAGGAGGGGAGAAGGGGCGGGCAGCCCAGCTCCTAATTTGAGTACATTGGTGGATTTGGGATATACAGTACATTAAGTGTGTTACTGCCCAAATTCTGGAGAAGGCAGCAAGAACCCAGGTATAAAACCCTACAACGTATTATGTTGAAAATAATTATTTATTGAATATGTGACAAAGATAGTCTATTGATACTAAAATGCTAAATATATTACATATTTTCATCGCAACTGATCTCATAACCAGTATTACTAAGTCAATCAAACAGTAACCCCTTATTGCAAAACCTTTGAATAACAAATAATACCAGTTTTTGAACAAAAATTATTGTGTTGGCCATGCCTGACCAACCCAAATTTTTCGAAATTAAGGGATCGCTTTTTAGGCATAAACACATATTTAAAGAAATAAAAAAATTTCATACCGAAATGCCCATTTTTTGGATTTTTCCAAAATGTGGCTAACACCAAAATTTTTTTTTTTTGGCCCTAAATTTTTGTTAAATTTCTGTTTATCATCCAAACAAATACAAATAATAAGACTATGTATTGTGCAGGTGGAGAAATGCCTCTGATATCTACTATCATTCAGCACCAGTCATGTCAATTCAGTTAAAATTTCTGTTCATGTGGTCAGAATCGACATCGTGCAAAACACATTCAGTTACCTACCGCTACTGTTTGCTCTGCGTTCTCTTCGAATGCCAATAGGCTGCCTATACTTCCCAGCATGCCCAGGATGTTGACGCGGATACCCTCACACGGTGAAGTCTTCCCAAGGTTGCAGAGCTGTGATACATGGTGCTGATTCAAACCCTGTTCAAATAAACAAAATAATCACCCTAATCAACAAACCCCAAATCTAAGTTTAAATAACTGCACTGCAAGATTGTTTCTATGCAACAAGTCATGGTGCCCAGGGGTGTGAAAGTGTTGGAGGCCCATGCATTACAAAGTGTCACGGTATGGTATAAAAGAAGCGTTGTCATGGGAATCCACAAAGGACAATCAGGAGTTGAAAACCAGGAACTACACTACCGTATTTTAATTTGCTAGTTTTGGGCGTCTTTACTGGAATGTAATATCAAAGGATTTGTAATACTAAAAGAGGTCCCTTTGTACTGGGGGCCCAGGGCTTCACCCCTGAGAGCCAATGGAGTAACAGCAATGTAGGGTATGCCAAAAGGAATTGTTCCTTTCATAGAAATGATTTATTCTGCTGTCCTGTGAAATATGTACATCATTCAGTTATTTTGTTACCAAGGTTTGAATACCTGTGGAGCCTGCTTGACGGTGGCCATCTTTTGTATAACTGACCTCAATGCACTGGTCAATGCTTCCAAGAATTCTTCTCCTGAGGGAACTGATTCCAAAAGTAAACAATAGAAAGTTAATAGACATTTGTTCTGGTTGTGTTTTATTATATTAAAGAATAACACATGCTACATAATTAAAACAATATGCATCACATCGAGACCATACATAGGCACATCATGACTACCGTACTGAAGCGGGTATAAGCCCACGCTCGGGTATAAACCCCACCCCTGACATTGGCGTCATTTTCATGCAAAATGAGGCACTCTGGTATAATAATCCCACCCCATAATTTGAAGATTTGAGTGCAGTAATAAATTATTTTGTAATGAAATACGTCATCTTCCTAGGCCTAAAAATCTTTTTAAGTTCCATTCATAGCTTCAAATACATCGTAAATCAGACGCATTGATGTACAGCTTTTTCTCAGATATTTGCTGCGCGCTATCAGAGCATATATCTGGTATTTGCCGGCCGTGCACGACCACAGCGTACGCCTAGTGTTTAAGTCTCACTTGGTCTTATTTTTGCACTTGCGGCGATTGACGATTGTTTACTAATGCAATAAATAACACGCACTGCAACGTGATAGTGCAGGAGTTGTGTGTAGGACGTCAGTCAACAAAAAATTTACAAGTGTAATTTTGATACCATATCGTAGCATGTTGATTGCAAGCATGTTGATTCCATCCATGTTGATTCCCAATTAAAACTGTTAAACCGTTCACTGTGAAATGCAGCAGTCTTGATAAAACCATGGAGGAAAGATTCTTTCATGATAAAACACAGTCTGGCTCCATGTCTACCACAATGCACAACCCAACTATTTTTGTCAGAAATCCTTTGTGTATACCGCACTCGCGCGTATGGTTTATTTTTTGAAACCGACTTTATCTGTTCACTGGTAGGCGGCATGCTTTGTGCATTCAGACTTACAATAACGCCATCACGATAACACTGAGTGTGAATTTGATCGTGGAAAGAAACCTTACATGGGAAATTGTTACTTAAATCATCTGCTCACTTGTTTGTGGTCTCTCTTTTCTCTATTTGGACCACTACTGTAGATTTATTCATGGGAACAAATCAACCTTGCCCGTGAAATTTCTACTTAGTCTTGTATTGACGACGGCTTTTAACATATAAAAAGATGATTAAGACACTCGTCATCAATACCACTTCCATGTATGTGATGCAAGGCTTAATAATATATGTACCGGTGTAACTAGTTGGTAAACCAAGCCTAAACAAAATCCATTGGGTGATTGATGGTTGTCAATAAACCATATACAGTAATTAATTCATTGAGCAATTTTAGACCTGATTAGCACACAGTAATACTTTGTTTGGCTTTATACTATCTATATAAGTAATAATAACAACCTGTGTGCTTGCTTTGCTGGTACAAATCTGTAATTGTTTGTATACTTACCGTGATCTGAGAGTGCCAACGCTAACAATTTCTCCCAGACAACAACGAGGGCCGGAGGACCGCCGAGCACTTCCAGTTCAACCGCTGTTATCAGATTATTTAAACAGACCAGTCCTCGGCATTGTAATCGCAGCAAACTGAAAGAAAAAATACGTAAATAAAATAAGGACTGGCACCCTAAAAGATAGAATCTGTTCTAGGATAAAAATTTGGGAAAACAGCATTAGGGTATATGGCTGAAATACAATGTCGCCACCACGAGAATGCAGCTTAGCTCAGTCGGCTAAACAGGTGGTAACCACTGCATGTATGCTGAACCATGGAGATCTCTAGGTCCCCGGTTCAAATCCCATCACTGCTTTCCTTTTCCAGCTAGAGGGCTGAAATGCAGGTTACTGTAGAATAGCTCAATGTCTTTCGGATGAGACATTTAAGCCGTTGGTTCCGTGTGCATTATGGCCTGTGTACACGTTAAAGAACGCAGTACACTATTCGAAAGAGAGTAGGGGATTGTCTCCCACTGTACTGCCCAATCACCACCAGAAAAAAACCCCATTGGAAATAAGTGTTCTTTAGACTTTTGTGGGTTATCCTTGATGTTTACACTAAATAAATCCATCCATCCATTCAAGCAAACAAAACAGTTTCATGATCATTTTTCTCCAAATTTCAACATTCTTTTGCATTCACCTTTAATGATGAAAAATAAATAAAACTTACCCTATTGCTAAACATGTGTATTTGGTACTGACTTCCAAATTCTCCAGTAACTGTTTTTCCGGAAATGATAATTTAGCTAAGACCTGCAATGATAGAGAAAACCTATGAACTTCAATAATAATAGGAAGATTTGAATTAACTCGCAAATCTGAGAAATGAATTAGAGTGCATGGAGAAACAAAATACAAACCCTGCTTTTTTATCACTTTCAATTAAATGTTAAATTCCAGCAGTGGATTTATCTAAAGGTAGGACAGTAAAGGTAGGAGAATAACCCATAAATTCGCAGCGTCATTTTTCTGAATTGGGTATGGGCATGTTCTGTGACTATTTTAGCTTCACACTTTAAAGTACACATAAACCAGATGTGTATACTAGATCTTTTTTCCAAGAAGACTTGGTTCTATCAACTCAACCCTTGGCGAGGAACGGCTCAAACTAGTGCCGATGTTTTGGTGCAAGGTGCTCCTTCCATAACCCTCGTCCTCTCAACTACTGTAATGTCTCTAATAAACGCCTAATAAGCCTATACACCGGCCGTCCGGTCATCAACCTAATCCTAAAGAATTCCAGATCGCGAACCATCTAGGCTGGCCCAAATTATCCCAATTAATTAGCCTAAGGTAGGACTGGTTTGTTGGCCTAGTACTTTTACTCATTACAGTGTTGTAAGAATTCCTACATCTTCTACAACATTCAAGCAATTGTTTTGGTTATTTAAATAATTATTTCCACATTACGTTAATTCATAAACAATGTTTGAAACGTTCATGTTTGAACTTTCTTTGCTCAAAACAATAACAAACGATTATTTTTTTGGTGCTTGATGTCAGGTGAGTAGCTTCACTAACGTTGACAAAACGCACATGGCAGTTGGTGAACTGGTTGAAACTTGCTTTACGACGTCTGGGTGGATATGCAGTGTTAAGATTTTAAAGTAAAAACTTAGTGTCCTATAAAAAAAGTTTTTTTGCAGTTATACTTTTTTACTGGAAGTTATCTGTAGAAAGGTACTGTATACGTAATCTTTGAAACAGCCCATGCGCAAACATTGTATCACATGGTTTTCTTATGTTTTGTTTACAAATGTGGTGCATGATGGTTGAGCACGCTTTGTTCACACAGTGAGTAGTGACGACTTAGGCGAAATTTAGGGGCTAGAATTACAAATAATTTTAGCTCAATATCGGCTTTTATTAGTTGCCATAATAATAGAATGATTGAATAATAGATACATTGCTCACAACACTACGTATTTTATTACATCAAATTTGAATAAAACTTAACTATTTTGTTGAAACCCACATGGCTGGAAAATTTAACAATTATTATATACAGTTAAAAGTTGCCTAGGTCGACTTTGCCTAAGTCAAATAATTTTTAAGTCAATCTTATTTTACATGCTAAATTGTTGTGTTTTCCATTAACAATCTGTAAATCAAATTTTATCTAAGTCAAACAATTTTTGAATGGCATTTTGGATTTGACTTAGGCAAGTTCAACTGTACAGCCATCTACATGGGAGGAATAGAGATTTTCCTAGGCAGGCTGTCCTGGTATGGTAATGCGTTGCATTGCAATGTTTGTAATCAGTCGATAAGGTTGAAATTTTGTTATTTTAATATGTGTAAATATTGGTTACCCATTACAAACATAACAAACCTCTGTTTAAATTGGTTGGCACTTATGAAAGTTTAATGAAATGAAAAAAAAAAGGGGGGGCATTTATTAGGGACAATATGGTAAGTGTGATGAAGCTGGTAGCTGCCTATAATTTACTAGTTAGGACTAGTTGTTTTAGACTGTTTTATAGCAATCCACCCCAATACCTCTCACCCAATCCTAACTAAACTTGCTGTGTAGCAGTCTGTCCATCTTACCTTTACTGGTAGACTCTGTGCAACCAAGGCATTGTGTATTTCAGAAGCCAAACAAAGAGGGCTCTATAATTAGGGAAAAACAGGAATTAAGAATCAAAAAATTCATCAGCAAGAAATAAAAACCAATTACGATTTAATAATTTTGAATTTATCAATTATTATCATTGATAACAGGAAGATAATATTTTAACAGAAAACAAGGAAAACCAAATACTGTATATAGAAAATATCCCAAATATAATAATTAACAAAATACTAGTAATAAAATAACACTAAATAAATAATGCTGGTTTTAAGATGGCAAGCCTCAAATAACAAGTATAATAACAATGAAAATTTAGAGATTATGGCAATGGTTAAAGAAATGATGATTATAAGAAATGATACTGATAACCTATTAAATAATTAATAATAATAGTAAAACTATATTAGTGTTTGTTAAACTTTCATCAACTAAAATTATATTTGCTTATATAGAGCAAAGAATATAATGCATGGAGTGGTGTTTCTGACAACTAAATTTAAGTACCACACAACTACTTTACTAAGTTGTAATGTACCATAATTTCTGGCTCTTCATTCATTGTTTCAACTTCGTCTTCTTGACTGTCTTCACTACTACTGCTACTGCAGTCCATATCCACCCAGTCGTCACCTTCATCTGTAGCAAGCAAATAGCAAGAGTGCTTAACTTTTACCATTGTCAGTGTTCTCCCAATTAAAACATTATTACTGGTAAATCTTTTCATAAAAATTCAGCTATGCGTGCAGTGTGAGGTATTACCCCTTTTTGGGTGGGGCTTAATGACTTGAAAAAACACCAACACATAACAGTCATAGCCTACGCATGACTTGAATGATGTTTTACTGTTTAAAAGAAGGCCAGCCTAGACTTCCTAGGCCTGATCATTGGTTTTTTTTACAAACACATAATTATTAATAATTAATTTGTACAATGATCATAAAGTGGGTAACACAACGGTTGTGACTCAACCCCTTAACACTCGCTGATTAAACTTTAGCATCATTATGTGAACATTTAAAAAAAAAAATTTACCTTCAAAACAAGACAAGTTTGAGATGATCTCGAGTGCTGTTTGCTGGCAAAGTAGTAAGTTTTTTAAGTCCTCCATTTTACTGATCTTCAGTGTCTAGAATAAGGCAAAAGTAGAACAAAAGTTCTTATATTGAATTGGCATTTTGCACACGACCCTTAAAATATTCAAGCAAACCATGCACTAATTAGTGCATGGTTGGGATAGGAAAATCACATTTAGAGTTTATCATCTACAGTTAAACTTGCCTAAGTCGACTTTCCCCAAGTCAAATAATTTCTAAGTCGACCTAAGTCCATTACTAAGAAAATTACAATCAAATCTTGAGTGTGAGAGTGGCGTCTAGCAGTGTCATAAGCCATAACAGTTTGTGCCTCAGCCATAATGGGGCTGAGTTAGTCTGCCTCTCCTAGGGCCCCTCTACTTGGAATTCTTGGATTTTCCACCGAAAATGAATACTATACAATTACTAAAATGGGGTTAATATTCCTTACATCTGTGTCTACTGACATGCCATCATCCTTGTTACTAGTTCCATTGATTCCCTATAAAATAAAAACAATTTAAAACATGACAAATATAGAACCACAGACTACAATAGTAAAAGTAATAAGATGATATCGTTTGAATTTGCATGGTGAAGTAATAATGTATGTGGTGTATTACATATATTTATCCTTATAATAATGATGATAACAGGGGTACCATGTTGGAAGAATCAACATCTGGAAGATATGTTTAACTTACATTGGCACTGACTTCAGTGAGACAATTGATATCACAGTAGTAAAAAAAAATATTGCGAATTTGGAAACGGATTATTTTCCAGGAGATTTTTCTTTGCTTGGAACTGCATGGGATAAAACCCATAACTGTTGGAAACCATGTAGAAAAGTCAAAGGAAATAATGAAGTAAGGGGAAATAAAAATGGATTCCTACATTTTCTTCAGGATGAGTTTCAAGGAATGAAGCAACCTCCAGAGTTGCATCTGCTTCTAATGTTTGAGCCAAAACCTTGACCAATGCCTGCAGTGTCTGGCCTTGGCTGCCCGCTGGAAGTCTAGACTTTATGTTACAAAAAATACCTGGAATAAAAGGAAAAAATAATTCATTATAATTCTTTTTAAAAATTATAAAATGAAAAAATTTATCAATTGATCTGATGCTCGACATACGCAGGTAATAAGCACCAGGAATGCCAAAATAGTGCAAACTGCTAATGTTTCCTGTACATTAAACTTTAGTATTACTGTAAAAAAAAATGTTCTTATAAACTGTAAATATGGTTATCACTATACCCCATCTTCAACCCTCATCCACACATGTCTACTGTGGCTCTAAAAAAACAAAGGGTTTTTTACCTGCAGTTAGTGTTTTAAACAAACATTGGGAGGAACTGTTGCCTGGGTTCATAAGTGCTTTCTCCAGCACACTTAGCATTTCAGGCGTGCTCAACGCACTGGCTACAGGATCATTGTCCTCAGTAATTGTGTGTAAACACTGAGCTGTTGACAAAGGGAAAAACAATATTTATTGGAAATTTATCCTTCTGATATGGTACAATATAACAGCAGCAGCAAAGTAGCAGCAGCAACAACAGCTGCAACAAAAACAAGAGCAGCAACAACAAGAGCTGCAACAAATAAAACAGCAGCAACAACAAGAGCAGCAACAACAAGAGCAGCAACAACAGCAGTAACAGAGCAGCAACAACAGCAGCTACAACAACAAGAGCAGCAACAAGAGCAGCAACAAGAGCAGCAACAACAAGAGCAGCAACAAGAACAGCAACACCAATAGCAGCAACAACAAGAGCAGCAACAGCAAGAGCAGCAACAACAAGAGCAGCAACAAGAGCAGTAACACCAATAGCAACAAAGAGCAGCAACAACAAGAGCAGCAACAAGAACAGCAACATCAATAGCAGCAACAACGAGCAGCAACAAGAGCAGCAACAACAAGAGCAGTAACACCAATAGCAGCAAGAGCAGCAACAACGAGCGCAACAACAGCAGCAGCAACAACAAGAGCAGTAACACCAACAGCAGCAACAAGAGCAGCAACAACAAGAGCAGCAACAACAAGAGCAGCAACAACAAAAGCAGCAACAAGAGCAGCAACAACAAGAGCAGCAACAACGAGCAGCAACAAGAGCAGCAACAAGAGCAGCAACACCAACAGCAACAAGAGCAGCAACAAGAGCAGCAACAACTACAGCAGCAACAAGAGTAGTAACAACAATAGCAGCAACAAGAGCAGCAACAACAAAAGCAGCAACAACAAAAGCAGCAACAAGAGCAGCAACAACGAGCAGCAACAAGAGCAGCAACAAGAGCAGCAACAAGAGCAGTAACACCAACAGCAGCAACAACAGCAGCAACAACAGCAGCAACAACAACAGCAGCAACAACAACAGCAGCAACAACAACAGCAGCAACAACAACAGCAGCAACAACAAAAGCAGCAACAAGAACAGCAACAGCAACAACAAGAGCAGCAACAATGAGCAGCAACAACAAGAGCAGTAACACCAACAGCAGCAACAACAAGAGCAGCAACAACTACAATAATAATAGCCCCAATCATTGGCATTACAAGCAGTTTTGCCTCACCTGCTGTGGTAGCTAGAGCCATGTTGACAGCATCAGCTTTGAAGCAATGTATTACTAAAGGCAAGATGTCTTCTTTATTGAATATACTCACAGCTATGTTACTACTTTCACTAAGTAAAAAAAAAATGTAATACTAATGCCAAGTATAACATGTTTGTACTAAATTGTGCAGAGACAAAAATGTGATATTTTTTTTCATACTAATGGTGGTATACACTTTTCTCAAACTTTATTTTGTAATTAGAACTACAAATTTACTCCACTTTAGATAATGAAATAAAATATAATTAAAGTTATTACAAGGTATACAAAATTAATTTTGCAAACAGTTATTCAAGTACTAACTGTAATGTACTTCCAATATTAATATAAAATTTTTATTACAGCACTACATAAATACTGAAAATTACAAGCTAAGAATGAGCCGACATACCAAAGGTTCCACAGCAGATGGAGAGCCTGCTCCAGTATACTGGTGCTGGGAACTCTGTGATCACTACCATGCAAGACAACGTCTGGCAAGTCTTTTCCATACTGTCAACAAAAAAAAACAAAAAAAAAAACACACACATGAAAATTTCATGGTATTTCAATTACATTGATGCTAATCTGAAAGATCCTTCATACCGATGCCACTGCAGAAATCATATGCGTATATAGAGTTTGTAATAGGGAGGTTCGTAAATTTGTGAGATGTCACTGTTCTAACAAGTCATTTTAATACATTTATAATACTAATCATTGTCTGTATGTATTTAATGTATTTACCTGCTGAAGTAGTGCTAGCAATGGTGTCATGACATCATCTCTTATCATCCTATCACAAACCTCATGACCTCCTGCAACACTCATGTTCCTATTGTTTAACAAAATATAATTGAAAAATTTGGCAATAAAACAATCACAAAATAATATGGGAAATTTTTTATGTGTTTCGTCTTTCGAGTCGCAGTCGAAAGAATCCGAATCAAAATCGTCATAAATCTGACTACGAACATGATGAACAGGCTCATTCGAATAAATTAACTCATCTGTTTGCACTCTATCAATATTTTGATTTTCTTCTTCTTCTAGGGTTGCGTTAAATGGAAGTTCGAAACAACCACTCTGCCTTGCATTACATACGTCTGGCAGAGGCTCAAAAGAAGAAAGTCTTTTTATTTCAGGCCGCGGCGCAACTGTGGGCTTCGTCAGAAGGGTCGATATATCAAGTCGGGAGCTGGTCGGTGAATCTGGACAATATCCAAAATTTGGGAAGCCTACAGGCTGAAGAACTTCTTTATTTTCGTGGTTAAAATTCATGTAATCACTTGTCGGTCTTGACACGCTTTTCACTTGTTTATCACTTTCTGCTGAATTTTCATACCGTATTGTCTCTAATAAACGCCCTGGGGGCGTTGCATTTTTTCAAAGGGGGGCGTTTACTTGAGGTGAATTGTAAAATCAAAAATTACCTAAACAAGCTGCTTCAAACGGTCAATGTTCTTTATTTGTAGAGGAACAAGTTAATGTGCATGGTATCTCCAGGCCTCCTGCTATTTTGCTGTTCCTTCGTTTATTGCTGGTTATTTGAAAATCAATTATTCCTTACGTGTTTCGAAAAGAATTGAAATATCTTCGAGTTCTCTTGGGGTAAATGTCCGACGATGCAGCGCGGTGCTTCTCCTTTCACAACAGCAATCACGTGCTTGTCAAAAACATTGTTGGCCTCATGAACTAGGCCTAGCACCGCACCAACGCACGCAAAACATCTGCCCTCAACTTGAAGGAAACATTCTCACTACGGTATAAACTTCATTGACCAGACACCTTGAATCAAATCAGCGTCGAACACGCGACACATTCACAATACGCGTTTACCCGTTATTTGCCGTCAGTTTGCATCTTACCCTGTTTTTACAAGGCTAACGAAATACCATGAGAGTAACACAAAATAGGCATAGGCCTAGTGATCTTGACGACAGTAAACATCAAACGTTTAGGGTAAGCTTTTTTGAGTAGTATGTATTTCATTTCGTATCAAAGAAAGCAGCACACTGTACGGTATTACTCCTTGTTTGTCAACCTTTTTATGGACTGGATACCCATGTTAATTGATTGGGCACTCATTGCAAAATGGAAAAAACTCAGAGGGGGCGTTTATTAGAAGAGGGGCGTTTATTAGAGACAATACGGTATACTGACTCTCGTGAGGCTTTTGTCGCCTTCTTTGCTTTGCTTTAAAAACTATGAATGGAATATTTTTAGGATCGATGGTGATTGTGAAACTTCAATCTCTGTTTATACATTCGCAGATTGCAATAAAATAATATTGAGTGTTAAGTATTGAATAATAATAGTAATAATTACATAATCATTATCAAGTAGTTTCCATGATGTAGGCCAAGGTTTACGGGGTTTTAGGGAGGTTTATGGGGTTTAGCAATACCCGTAATAATCAGATTTTGCTTTATTTTTAATTTTATGCTTCAAGTAAAAGCATAACCTTCTTACACATCGTACACCAATGTCACGTAGCCAAATCTTACTGTACGTTACTTTAAAATCAAGAAAATATAAATAATCAATTTCAATGCTTACTATTTTATTTTGACTTTTTGACAAAAAAAAAGAGAAAAAAATATATTTTTTATTACCTCAAAGAGCCTGTAGCACCCTCTCTGACTATGTCACTCTTGTCCAGCAATAGAGGGCCTAGGGTCTTGACCACACCCTGCTGTAGTAGTAACTGCAGAGCAGTTTTGTCCATCACTAGGTTAGCGATGCTGGAGCATCCGCAAGCCCTGTCCTCAGATGATGGACTTTGTAGCTAGAGAATAAACAAATTAAAAATTGCAATAATAATATAACTATTATTAAACACCAAATTAAATTTTCTCTTTGTAATTTTCATAGTGCCTTCCAAAATCACAGACGCAAATTTGAAATTCAAGCGCATTATATTAGACCTGCTGTTTTATTTATTCTTGAACTTAAAAGATAGCAAATACATCATGTAGGGAGAAACACTCTACAAAAAGCAGTGTATAATTCTTTACTTCATCCTGGTACTGACTTTAAACTTGTCACTTCTTATTCCATTGCAAGGGTTCATGCTGATTGTCTTGACAAATATGGAATTATCTTAAGTTTCTTTAAAAGTTATTAATTTTCATGTGACCTTGCCACTTCTTGCTTGCGATGCCGCCATGTGAAAGCATTTATTTTTAATGTTAGGTTAGTTAAATGTTTCTAGAGTTATGTTTCCATTATTTATTTTTCCATTTTGTAAGTGGTGGGTTTGTATTCGCTTTTAGTGTAAAACTGAAACAGAATTAATGTATTTTTATATACTATAGTTAATATCGTTTTTTTTTTCTGAATTTTAAAAATTTATTTTTCTGAATTATCTTGGTTGCCCTGTATTATTTCTGTGCAAAGCACATTACGGGCAATGTGCAATATGCGCTATATAAATATAACATTATTATTAATATTATTAAAATACTCTGAATACATTGTGAATAGCTTGTAACCTGAGGACTGAGGATTTCGATGTGCTTAATAAGTAAGATGTTTGTAAGGCACTGCCCTTGCTGTTGTTAGAAGCTTTTTTTTAGGTCATGAGAGAAATTGGTTAGCATTTTCTTTTAATTTTTCGCATGTAGGTAGGTCTGGAATATGGTGCGACAAGCACTATAGTGTACGAATAGTAAAGGGAGTTTACAATGTACCTGAGAATGCATAAAATGAATTTGATATTAAAAAAATGAATTTATGTTTCAAATTAATTTTCAAGAAATGAAAAACATCATTTTTAGTAGTAAAGGGCAAAATACAAAAACTGTCCCCTAGTTAAACACATTCACAAAATTTTGAGCTGGGTCAATTCTTCGTCGTATTTTTGGATTAAAAAAGTAAGTCAGCAAGTTTTTCAATGTCGGGAGGGGATGCTAATTATTTTTTTTTTACATGGCCTTATGTTTATATTAAAGTTGTTTTGATAAAATTGTTGGTTGAAAAATAGTTATTTTCATTTTACTTTTAATAATTTAAATGTTGTTATAAATAACAAAAAAATTGATTCAATTCATTAATTAATAAACAATAAATAAATTCTAAATCAATAAATGTAATAAATTATATTTAAGTATTCAAAATACACCCATTATAAATTATATTTAGGCTATATAAACAGGGAATAGTTAGTACAGTAGTAACACATCCATCTTAATATATATATTTTTTAAAAGCAGTATATTAAAATTTGCATTTTTTAAAATTTCAGTTTTTTAATGTTTTCTTTCTATTACGATACGATACAACTTTATTGTCTTAACGGTATAAATACAGCTATGAGATATGGATCCTTAAATACACTCATATTAGTTAATATAGAAAAATAATTAATATACATAAAAATACATCAAAGTTGCACAACAGAAATTGCTAAGAATTAAAATGCATTGCAAGAATTACTGAGTATGATGGAAAGGCAAGATAAACTGTACAATGGTTTATCTATTGAACTGCATATTATTAAAAAGTCTGACTGCTGATGGAATGAATGAGTTGTTAAATCAGTTAGTCTTAACTTTAGGATGAATTAATCTACCAGATTTATTATTTTCTATGGTAAGAATCCATACATAGAATGTGGACAACTATTTCCACTTATATGAGTGGAATAGACCAGATCGTTACCACAGGTGGCCACCTTCCTTCGCATTTCTTTTTGACAGCAAAAACTTAAGATCAGAATTTTATAATTATAAAACGTTTGCCTTAGGCCTAGGCCTACATACTTTACTGTCAATATCTGACAAACGATTAGACGTTATAAAATTGAGAATCGAAATTAATATTGCTAACCTTTTCGAACATATTAAGAGCATTTTGTTTGATATCACCGCCAGCTGCCACGGAATCTGCTCCCCCTGTCTCATCCAACTCCTCCATTTCTTTCACACTCGGCAGTCCAGTTGGCCTGGGCTTTTTCGATTTGAACCTTTTATTTTTACTCTTACCCATCGTCATCCACAGAAACTTCTACATAATTAAACACGCGTGCATCGTTCAGCTTACGTAGATTTCATATTATTGTACAAAAGCTACCAAAATTCATGAATTTTGTTAAAAATAACTCAGCTCAGTACCATACATAACTATCCTCTCCGCACATGTTACACGAAGACTGCAACTCACACCTGATCGAGAAAAGGATCCTCTGCAATGACTATTATTTTGTTAAAAATAATAAGCTAATTCCGGTAATACCCTGGTGTATGCGATTTTATCCACCATAACAAACTCGCATATTATATAGAGGGCAGTGTTGAAATAATATTTTATGTCAGAGGAGAAAAAGATCGCGTAGGCCTACACACCTTTCAGTTTTATCGTAAGTGTTTTTGTGTAATTAAAAAACTATTATTATTTATTAGTAGTTTTTTCAGTAATGATACAGTTATAGTGATACATGTGTATAGTAATCTCTGATGGTGTAAACTATACTATGGATTTTAGGCTTAGGGCCTAGCTAGACCTAGGCTAGGCCTAGTAGTAGGGCTGGAGGAGAAGGTGGGTAAGCCCTAACTAAACTAGGCTAGGCCTAGGCCTACTTGTTGACTCGCAAAAAAATAACTCAAGAAGGTTCGTAGGCTAGGCTAGCCATGTCCCAGTAGTAGTAGCATATAGTTTATTAACGCCTAGACAGATGCTTCTATATTAACCTTAAATATACATAGGCCTGCATCATTTGGATCGCATCTGATCCCATATTTTTTTTATACACATTTCAAAAACATTAAATAATTACAAATGTTTGTTTAACTATTATTTTTGGGTACTTGTCTTGTTAGTCTTAAAAAAATGTTGTCTGTGTTTTTTGGTTTTTTTTTTGACTGAAGGCCTACAGTCCTTATCTATGTATGAGGTTATGCCTGACATTGTTATTGTTATATTTTCAGTTAATGAGTGCAAATTCAAGAGATTGTCATGGCTATGATAATGACTGGTACCGATTATCGGGGGCGTGTTTTGGATGACAATACTGTGCGACTTGCAGTGACAATGAAAGGACAGAATGCTCAGTTAGTAGTCTTTGAACAGGTAAGTCATCAGAATTTAACACGAGTTTTAACACTAAGATAACATGTTTGCCGTAGGATGTCACTTTGTGGCTAGGAATATAGTACCATACACTATCTCGGTAAATGGTGAGTGGCCCCTAGCTGTTGCCAACCATCTTTATTATTAACGAGATAGTGTATGTATTTCTTGTCATTGCCAAGTTGTTTTGTCTTGTGGTGATTTTTCATGTAATTTTAACCTTTTTAACCAAGCAAACTTACAAGGAAAAACAAATTTCCTATTTTAAATGCGAAAATAAAGTGTTCTTGAATAGTGTGCAGTATTGTACTATTTGAAAAAGACTTCTAAATTTCTATCAAATGATCAACAATCTCTTATGTACAAAACCATTATTGCTCCTCATTTTGAATACTGTAACCTAGTATGGGGTAGATCTACTCAAAATCAAAAAAACAAATTACAAGTCTTACAAAATAGAGCGGCAAAAATAATGCCAAAAAAAAGAAAAGATGATTCAAGTACACAAGCTTTGCAGACCTTAAATTGGGAAAATTTAGAAAACAAATTGTATAAAAATGAAGCAATAACCATGTATAAGATTTTTCATAACATGGCTCCCTCTTATTTGACCGAACGCTTTACATTTGAGGAACAAAATTATTTAACCCGATTAAATGATGTCTTAAAAGTTGATCGTCCTCACACGGAATACAAAAAGAAAAGTTTATCTTACCGTGGTGCTATTTTCTGGAATGCACTGGATGAACATGTTAGAAATGCTTCAAATGTGTTAAAATATTTAAAACACTTTTGTAAAATTTTTGGTCTTTGCTTCATTTTTTTGTATCTCGTATTTGTATATAATTTTATATTTTTTTTTTGTGATTATGTGTTAGTTTTATTCTATACTGTTATTTTGCAACTTCAATGACAACACGGCCTTGTAAAATAACACCCTCTGGGTGAAACAAGCTTTCCGTGTAAAAATAAAGTTTTAATAATAATAATAATAATAATTGTAAGCCTACCGTAAAACCTCGAATTGAAGCCCATTGAGCTTAATTCTGAGAAGAAGCCCATGTGCTTTGTTTCAAGATAGCATAGGCTTCTGTTCCAAATAGTTCAATACATACACTGTACATGAATTTAAAAAAACTAAATAAATTAAAAACAAGCTTGGTTTATACAGTAGTTTACATGGGTGTATGCAAGGGGGCGGTCGGGAAGGTCGTACGACCCCCCCCCCCAAATTTTCAAAGGTCCACATTTTTTCCAAAGACATTTTTTTCTAGGGCCTTTTGTAATGACATAAAAGAAAAAGCATTGATGAGATACCAGCAATGAGTCCAAAGGCCTTGGCAATTGCATGATGTAATCTATCTCAATTCCAACTGAGCCTGTCATGGTGGCAGTTGGGTATGTGGATAGGTGTGTTTCAATAATAGGTATCTGTTTATAAGTCTGGCATGTACTATTTTACATAGGGTGTGGTATAAAATAGAATGTTAAGCTACATTATGATTTTGAAAAAAATATTTGAAAACACCTGATTCCTGTAAAAAAAATATCATCTAATAAAAGAGTACAGTACTTATAAGTTACAACTAAAAATATAAAAATTATATTAAAAAATAATAACGTTTTTATGAATTTTTCTGTAAATAAGTATGGAATTAAATTAACTCCACAATTATTTATTACAGGACAAGCCACTTAGGAGTATCATCACGATGCTATGTCAAGACTGGTCGCTCTCCAACCACCAAGACTACAGTTTACAGTATCAAGATGCTTTCATATATGTTACAGAGAAAAACAGACATGAGCTGAAGAAAGGCACCATCCTCAAGCTTACAGACTCACCAGTAAGTAATTTGCATCTCTTCCATTGATCATCTGGTTATTACTTGTGAAAGTGAAATAATGCTCTGTGGTATATTTTTAGGTTAGGTTAGGCAACCTCCAACCAGTCAATCAATCAATATATTTAGATGTCAGACCTGGCAAGTGTCCTGCATTTAGCAAATAGAAATAGAAACCAATGTGAGCTTCTAGAAATAGAAACTGTTTTCTTGCGGTCCCGACCACATTTGTAAAATGTAGTTAAAAGTCAGAGTACAATGTTTTTAATAATGTTATTGTTGTCTCCTGAATTAGTGTACTGTGTACACAAAAACTGGGGTCAATCAAATCTCAACTAGTTTTGAAAACACTACTTTAGCTTTACTTACTACTGTAGTATTGTTACAATATGTTATTGTTACTTCGCTGAGGATGTGATCTCTTCACTGGTCTTTACCTCTCTGTCTATTAGCTGGAATATGGAAAACTAATGAATGGATTATCCTGAAATTTAGTGAAGTTGTAAATATGTGTCTAAAGGTGTGATTAAATTTTGGGGTGAAAGGTCAAAGGTGATATTTAAAATCACAGAAATTTGAAAAATTCTTTGAAACTTACACTTCAAAAATAATGGAATCTTCCATAAATGCCCTTGTATTATCATGTATGAAGTCATAGGATGGAAGTATGCAATCTATGGGATGCTGCTCTAGCTAAACTTGTTATAATATTTTAAAATTTATTTCTACAGCAAAAGGCTGCAAGTGCCATCTTCAACCAACTAAGATTGTCAGATCAGGAGGAGAGACACCAGGCATTAAAGAAGCTCACATTGGCAGCAAGCGATTTTGCCTTTGCTACTGAGTTCATAGCAAAGAAGGGAAGCGGCCTTCTTCTTGGCCTTGTAGAAGGAGGAGAAGAGTATGTACTATTTCCTTTTAATTTAGTAAATACAGTATAATATTTAATTACATCATAATTGTAATATGTTATAATTATAGTTCATTATGAAAATGCTTTATTTGGGATTTGTTTTTCGTTAGACGAGGTGAAAGTCTAGGGTGTGCGCTGTCCTCGTTCTTGGAGCTAATGGACCATGGGATTGTCTCATGGGATCTTATTACTGCAGTGTTTGTGAAAAGAGTAAGTAATTAAATTAAATCTTTTATTTAGAAATCTTTTGCCCATAATTCATTCATCTTTTATTTCAGAATTCAAATCCATATTAGATAGTATGGTAGCATGAAACTCAGGAATGATTCATTCCTGAAGATGAAATAATAAAGTTTGAAGTATTGAATCACAATGGCTTGTATGACTGTCTTATGTCAAACTTATCAGTAAACCCCAAAATCCATGCTATTGAACAATGAATACAAAATGTACATATACTGCACAAACTCGAATGAAATAAATTTCGGAAAAACACCAAAGGTTTTGCAATTTTTCAAATAGTTGACATCGGCTTTCGCTTTAATTGCACAAACTATTTTATGTTGTATGCCTACAATGGAGGAGCCTACACTGAGGTAGAAGCTCAAAGCTTTTTGCATATAATCTTGGAGGGGACTCTAATTAAAGAGAGAGCTGTATAACATGGTAAACTTTTCCTCTTTGTCTTCAGGTGGCAGGCTGTGTCAAGGAAAGCCCAGCACCTAAGGAGGGCACCCTCAATCCTAAAGCATCCATTGACCCGGTAGCAATAAAGAAGGCGGAAGATGCCGCCATCGCCAAGAAAATTTTTGATGATGTCATCACGCATAAAGCCCTAGGTTTACTGGAAGCGATTGTGAATAACTGGTATGTATTGATGGGGATGTTGATGTTGATGGTGATGGGGGTAGTGGCGGCAATGATGATGACGATATTGATGATGACGATGATATTTATGATGATGATATTGATGAAGATGCTATTGATGATGCTAACAATGATGTTATTATTGATAATGATATTGATTATGATGTTACTGATGATAATGGTATTGAGGATGATATTGATGATGACATCATTGATGATGATATTGATGATGATGATGATGTTATTGATGATGATGATATTAAGTATGATGATATTGATGATTGTATTGAGGATATTTATGATATGATATGATGATATTTTAAATGTTTATCTGCTTTTCTTTTTAAATTTCAGCACTGATTTATATTCAACTGTTGCTGATGAAATTACATTCAGAGATATTATTCCCCATTTAAAGTAAGTCAACTTTTTTGTATAAAGGAATCCTAATAACTTTTTCTGTAATCCTAGTTTATTGCCTATTCCTTTGTTTTTGTTTTGTATATTTTCCGACAATCATTTTTTCTCTTTTTTGTTTTCGTGAACAATGGGTTTTTGTTTTAGCCTTTCACTGGCTTCTCATTGGTCAGTTTATCCATCCAATCACCATCCAGCTTGTGTTTTAGCCTTTCAACCATTGATCAGTTTATCACCATCCAGCCTTTCTACCCAAACATATAGTATTTCCCTGTTTGGAGTGTCTGCAGATATTATTCTCCTGAAGACGATTGAAGCATCTCAATCGAAACGTCGAGACTTTCTCAACTACAACAGTTCTTTTCAGAACTACTTACGTGGTGTACCGCAAGCTTCAACATATATATATTATTCCTTCGCCATGCAAACCTTTAAGCAATACTTTATTCTTTCTCTTTTTTTTTCAGCACTGGTAATCCGGAGATTAAAACAAGTTGCATAGCTTTGATCAATGCTCTTTGCCTTCGTGCACCAGAGGACAGGAAAAAGGTGAAATAGTAAAATTATATTTTTAGTATTCATTATCTATTTTGTGTAATTTCTGAATATTTTACTTAGTTAACCAGAAAATATCAAAATTTTCCCTAAAACAGATCACCTGTTTTGAACATTCCATCCCAGCACGCCCTACAAGAATGTGCAATGGGATGGACTACTCTATTATTTTTGGTGGGTGTTCTACCGAGTAAACATTAAAAATTGTCAGTTTACCCAGATAAGCAACCCAGTCATAGACATATTACACTAATTGGGGGCATTGTCTTTGTTTGTGTTATGTATAATATTTGTTGGTTTTAGTTTTTATTAGGAATCACATCACCATTGATGGTGCATCCAAAACCAAAACCAAAACAATCAAAAGAAACATGAAAAATAACTTACTCAAACAAGTCAAATTAAACTACAGTTGACATGAAACAAAACTCCTTAACTACATTAATTTAAACCACTAATCTTGTTTTAAAACTACTACACTTTGTTTTTAAGCTACTAACTTTGTTTTTTTCCCTTAAGAAATGTGATGAGTCCTTAGCTTCAAAGGAGGTCAGGGTGGCTATTTTAGAGGTTAGTTGGTAATATCATCATCCAAATTTTGTTTAAAAAATTATATTTTAGTAGTAATTTATTGATTTATATTTTTAATAGTAAACACAATTATATTAAGAATTACCAGTGAAATCAAATGATTTATTTATCATAATAATTGTTTGAAAAATAATCTTCATGATATAGTTAGATGATCATAATTATTATTATATTCTGTTTCCATTTTGTCAGGTTGTTCAGAAGAATCCCACAGGGTCAGATATGCTACATCAGCTTTATGTTTTTCAACAATTGAACTTTAACCTTTTGGAGAGAAAGATGGTGACAAAACTAAGTGCCAACAGTGAGGTGACTATTATCTTTTTTAGCCTTGTGATTTTCCAGGCCTGCTTATAATGTTCTTGTGTAACAACATTAATGATTTATAATGTCATAATGACTTATAATGGCAATTATATTACAAAAGATAAAAAATGTTTTGTGGTGTTCCACACTCAAACCAATATAATTACATTAGCTACTATATCTTGTCACCAGCATTTTCCAAAATATAAAGAATATCTAATGGATCTGCGTAGGATAGCGTTTTCCAGCGAATCAGAATCGAAGAGAGCTAACTACACAGCCGACTACAGGAAACTCGGATTTGAGGTGAGTTGGCTGGACAGATGTAACACTCAATGATCTAAATCATTAACTTATCAATGTATTACTGATAAATCCAAAGAGTTGAATGGTGGTGGTATGAGTATTTGACATAGCTATTCTAGTTGATTTCCACTATGACAGCGTAAGTGGGTGGATCTGAAGGTAGCCCAGAACCGCTTGGAGGGGCTCCTAAGGGAGAAGGCCCCGGAAGCTTCAACAATTCAGGAATTTGAAAGTCTTAATTAGTCAATTTTTTAATTCTAAAAATCTGTAAAAATTATAATTTATTTCCATCTTAACAATCTGTGTTTTTTCTTGAAGTGGAACCAGCTCTCCCAACCTCCCACTGACACCACTCCTGCCTGATAGGCTAGAAATTGATACCAAAAAATGTCCTGAAACTTAATGAGAAACTAAAAAACCAATTAATTTTCAAAATATTTTTTTTTTATTATCATTGATTAAAAGATACATGCAGTTGAAGTTTGGTTTGATTTTATTAATTTTTGTGTTTTTGTTGATTGATTACTGTATACAGGACTGTGCAAATCCATCGCAAGATTTTAACGAAGCGCCTGTGTATAAGAGACAGCACACACTCATTGGTTAGCTTTGCATACAAGATGTAATTATTTTATGGGCTTTCAAGAAAAAAAATGTGCAGTTCTAACCCTTTGCCTAAATGACAAATCAGAATCTAATAAAAATTTACACCAAAAAAAAAGTTTTTTTCACTAATTTTTGATTAATTTTCTATTTTTAGCATGTGCTTGAAAACTCAAGCCGTGGTCAGGAGCATGAATGTCCATTCGGCCGGACTGGAATTGTCCTCACAAAAATTTGTTGTGAAATACTGAATGTTGGAGAAACTCGTAAGTTATCTAGTCCTCACTAAAGTCTTTTATTACATACTCAAAGTTGAAAAAAAAAAGTCATCTAGTCTTAATAAAGGAATTTTTGATTTTTAATGGTAAGAATTATGCTTTTCTATTTTTAACAGCTGATGAAACATCTCAGGATTTCTTCCCCTTATTTTTCGCTCTTGACAATGCTTTCTCCGAATTCTTTTGCACCTGTATTCAACGCCTAAACAAGACATGGAAAGAGATGCGAGCTACTCTGCAAGATTTTGATAAGGTTAGTGTATTTAGGCTCATCTGGGGCATTTAAGGGTGTCTGTCAAGATTGATACTTACATGTGTACACCAGATATTGTAATTTGTTTCCTTAACAAAAACACCCCTCGAAAATAATACAATTGTCCAGTTCATACTAAAACAGTTTCAAAACCACTACTCAGGATGGCAATCTTTAAGCGATAGTTGGTTTTATACAGGTATCTCTCTCATAGAGTACCAACATCACTACTGTCGTGTGCTTAGATGAACTTTATTTTTTAATGTCTCCAGGTGATGGACGTTGTCAAGGAACAGATTGTGCGCGCTCTGAATGATAAACAGTCATCCATGATCAAATTCAAATCCCGTCTCGCACAACTCGGCTACAATGAAATATTGAGACTCCGAAATGTGGAGCGATCCAAGAAAGAAGAATGGGATTCACAAGCACCTCCTGTTGTGTAAGTGATAATTCTTCATTTTCATCCGACTTTGAAATTTTAAGTTTATTGTCTGGTCTGCTGCAATAGTTGCAGTCCGGCGTGACACCCAAATAATCAGAAACAACGGATGCATATAGATACAAAGATGTTACCTTTTGGAATACTTTCTATGCGTGCTCATGTGTTTTGTAGTATATAATTATGCTGTGAAAAATGTTGTCTATTTCACAATTCTACATAATTGAAGTGGAGTTGAATTGCTTGGTGGTTAAGATGCTTGCCTTACAATCCCCGGGTCCTGGGTTCAATTCCTGTCAGTGTTACAGGATTTTTTCTCACGACCAAAACAATTCCACTCCCGAAACCTCATATTGAGATTTAGTTTGTCTAAGGCATCTTGTGTGTATGTTTGTCTTGTGAAGGGATTGTCACCTTCAAGTAGGACAGTGATATATTCACTGTTGACAATCCTTGGCGCATATGTTTTTACGCCTAAATAAATAATAATAATTTGTCTACCAGAGCTTTACGAGAGAAGGTTAAACCAGAGATTTTAGACGTCATTAGAAGACAGCGTCTCAACTTTCTCAAGGAAGGCCTGCAATTCCCTAAAATGTCTAGAGGCCGCAGTACAGGTATTAATAACATTCAAATATGTAAATTAATTTTACAAAAACTTCTTTAAAAATATTAATTTTAATTTTTTATAAAAAAAAATTTTAATAAAAAAAAATTTGTGTAAATTACATTTCTTTTGTTACAGTATTTCTTTTGTTACAGTATGTTAAAGTCTAAATAATATAATTTACAGTTTAAATATTAATAGATCTTATCTAGTAACTTTGCTATGCCAGTTTGGTTGTGAGTATAATAACATTGTTAAAAACAGAAAGTGATATACATTAAAAAGATATTAAAAGCAAATTAATGACATTAAAAGAAAATGTAAAGGAAATAGAAACAAAAGTTTTTGCTTATATGGTTATAACATGTTATTCATTTACTTGGTTTTATCTTTTAATTTGTACACTTCCAATTTCCTGTTCTCCAGGTAAATTTTGGTACTGTCGTCTCTCCCCGAACAATAAGGTGCTTCAGTACGGTGACACGGATGATGGTGTAATCCCAAACACAGAGGATGTCCTCTTTAACAAAAGTAATAATCTCATTTGTTCATAATAATCTCACTTGTTCATAATAATCTCATTTAATCATAATTTAATGGAGCTGTAGTTTGGTGATTAAAATGCCCTCTGTCCAATCAATGATTTCTGTAACTGGCTTAACAGTGCTCCTTAAGCCTGGTAATGAAATTTAGTTGGAGTGGCATGCTTTGTGGTGGCATGCCTTGCGGTGACAGTAGTCTTATGACCGCTTTTGCCACTCCATGGAGCACCAATACGTAGTTGTCTGTTGTTTACGTTTCTTTGGCCGAAAATTATAAAATATAAATAAAATTTACTTCTACTTATTATATAAGCAGTGGCTATTGTTACACCAGTCTTAAACCAATTTCAAAGGATGTTATTGTCCTACTCCTATCCATACATACACATGCGGTGTGTAGTGGACCAGCAGCTTGTTGGTTAAGATGCTTGCTTTGCAATCCCAGGGTCGATTGTTCAAACCCTATTACTGCATTATTTTTTCTCGCGACTAAATAAAAAATCTATGTAAATAGAAAATATAAATACATAGAAAAATAGAGAAATAGTAGAAATTCCATCCTGTAAGTGGCTAGTGTTGGATATGAAGAAAATATATATAAAAAATAACATCCAATAAAAATTAAGAATTGTATTAAGACTGGTGTTTATGCTGTCATTAGCTGTGGATTAGATTGGATTTATTCGGTGTAAACACCAAGGATAGCCCATGAAAGTCTAGAAGAAGACTTATTTCCATTGGGGTCTTTCTGGTGGTGATTGGGCAGTACACCGGGAGACAATCGCCTACTCTTTTCCGAAAAGTGTACTGCGTTCTTTAAAGTGCAGATGGGCCATAATGCACACGGGACCAACGGCTTAAACGTCTCATCCGAAAGACGGTGCGCTATTGTAACTTGTATTTCAGTCCTCTAGCTGAAACACAAGGAGAGGCAGCGATGGGAATTGAACCGGGGACCTAGAGATCTTCACGGTTCAGTGCACATACAGTGGCTACCACCAGATTAGCCGACTGAGCTAAGCTGCTCTCTCTAATGTCATAGCCAAATCTTAATAAAATATGAATTTTGTTAAATATTTTCATTCAAAATTGGCCAAAAAAGCTAATAGAATTAAAGCTAGTATCAATACATTGCTTATATTCTTTTGTTTTGGCTAAACAAATTTCTGTTTGGCTAATTATTTTCATACTAAATTAGCCAAATTGCTAAATATTTTTATGGCCAGCTTAAACCCTGCCTCTGTTTTATTATACAAGGCTATTACCAATCCATGGTCCATGTGTCTAAATGAATGAAAAATATCAATAAATAAAAACCAAAGAGAAATAGTTATTTGCATTATTTTTGAGAGGTGACCACCTCTTCTAGGAGACTAGACATTCATCCACATCTGATTTGTTTATTGTATATTTATTTATTTATATTTAATTTTAGTATTGGTAGCTGATATACAGACTATGAATGTTGGCAAAGAATGTTATTTCGCTAAAGACCTCCGCACAAATAGAAGGGTAAGCCAAGATTAGATTATATTGTTTGTTAAAATAATTTTCGTTTCATTTTTATTTTCTGGTGATGACATGCAATGCGAATGTAATTTGTGTAATTTTTGAATGGGTTTTTCTTGATTTTGTCATTTGCAGCAAATTCAAAGCATTTATTTCAGCTGCTGTCTTGTAATAATTTGAACGTAAAGCTACAAATCGCCTCTTTATGGCTGCTACAGTATTTACAGACCTTAACCATATGTAGCTGACCATATTTTCACTGCGTGTTATAGGTTAATATTTTTATCCTTTACGATTACCCTTTGTGTTTTTTTTTTTCAATTTTCAGGGAGCCTCAGTGATAACTTGTTGTTCAATTATCTATGATCCTGACAATTCTTTAGACTTCTTTTTTATAAATCAAAGCTCAGTAAGTATAAATCCAAAGTTTGTAAATATTGATTATTGTATTATTTGTTGTCATTATGCTAGAAGCTTATTTCAGATGCCATCAACAATGGCTTTCTGTACTTTTTTTTGTTTTGTTTATAATGTGTGTAGGAGCTGTTGGTGCAAAGGTTGCGCTTCCGGTTGTCAACCGTAAGGTTGGGGGTGCAAACCCTCACTGCCATTTGCTTACTTTTGTAAGCAAAGCATGTTCTGTCTTGTCTACACTCAAGCCTATAAATGGGTACCTATTCAACATATCTATAATTTTGGCTGCACACACCATACAAGAATGAACAAAAATAAAAATGGCCTATAAATAGTGGTTTATTTTTTAGGTAGTATTATACATATATGAATTGGTTTAGAACACAGGTGGGCAAAGTGTGGCTCACGAAAAAATGAATTAAAAACCCCATGTGTGCGCCCCGCTAACAATCTTTGGCTAGAAAACACCTTGTTTTTCTACAGCCCGACACCAATCACCTGTCAAAGTAACGTTAAAACTGAGAATAAAGTTGTATAAAAGCAGTGCATGTAGGTTTTTGGAAGCACACGGCAAACATCCAAGTTGGGGGGCAACCCTCAGTGTTGAATCAAAAGTTCACTTTGGCCCTCCGATCGATTTTTATGCCCATCCCTGGCTTAGGACAACATCCCATAAGAATGAGAAATTGTTTAAGACTGGTGTAACAATAGCCACTACCTATTTTAAGAATAAATTGCTTATATTATTTTTCAGTTTGATATGTGGACAGATGGTATCAATGCATTGCTAGGCAGGGAGATGACTAGTGCTCAGACTCAAACAGACTTAGAAACATTACTCAGCATGGAGATGAAGCTCAGGTTACTAGACACAACCAACATCACCATCCCCACTGAGCAGCCCCCTATCCCACCACCTCCTAGCAACCTTAATTTCCATTTTGTATTTGAATAATTCCAACAACAATTATGACCAATCAGAGAGCTGTTTTAGTATTAGGTATCCATGGTGCTTCATATATAGGTAGCATATTGGTTGAATTGTATTCAGTTGTTGATATTTTCTGTTGTAATTATTGCTCTGCAGTTAATGTATTCTAAATGTATTTTTGATGTCTTTTGTGTAATTGTATTATAGCTCATTTTTGGAAAGAGAATTTTTGTACAACCATTCTTAGAATTTCTCTTGGTACTTGATTAAATGTGTCATCTTAAAGGACATTACAACAGAAAGTTAAATGTGCACAAATTAGATTAGTGATTAGTCCATCCCTTTAAATAGGAGTTTCTGTGGTATTGGCTGAACCATCTTTTTGAGGGAACCACCTTCTGATGAAGGAGTTAACCAAACCATAGACATCCTCCATTCCTGCTTATGGGCCTGAGTTTGCACAATACAAGTTATTAATATTAAGTCTGCTTTCGTGAATACTTACATGAAAGATCTGACTATTGCCACTGTTCCTTTAAATAAAACACCCCTAAAAGATAATGGAACTGTCTATCCAGGGCATTATATAATGATAACAATCATGTGCACATCCTCATTCTTTAAGCAAGTGCTAAGAATGTACATAATTTACAGTGCAAACTGAAAGTTATTTATAATCATATAAATTATTTCACAAGGTTTTCTTAATGTTATTTATGTAGATGTATTCTCTTGGAAATGCATGGTGTAGAAAATCTTGTTGCAGGGTAAGGGCACATTTCCATGGTAACAGAGTAGCCATAGCAATTTTAAAATTCTTAGTATTAAATGTGAATTTATAAAGATTTTTCAGTATTATAGTAAAGCACAGGGCAAATATCAAGATTATGTGTTGTTTTGTAACCAATTTTAAGCATTATTTTAATGAGTATTTACAATACTTTTTTAGCTTTTTTTTATCTTTAATATATTTAAAAGTTAAAAAAAAAACCCTTTTTCTCACATTATTGAGGCTGTAATTAGTTGGTTTTGTAGATAAAATTTATGTTGAAATTATATCATAGCATTTATTTTACAAAAGTCTTATGGTCTAGTTTCTGGATAAACTGATAATTGCCAAAGTTAATTAGATATATTTTTAAGATTCAATGTTATTTCATGAATAGTACAAATTCAAATAGCGTCTTAATCGATAAACTTACTTTTGTTCACTCAGTACAGCCCCATGATGCTGCAAGTAATATGAAAGGGGGAGTTAGGTTTTAATACAATAACATAAAGTTGTTATTATCTTGAAAACAGTTTCGACCTATCTGGCCCTTCTCAGCTCAGGTAGTGGGATTGAATTGACGTGTAGTTGTGTACTGACTGTTATTCATGGCGTTAACGCATTCTCGCTCCAGGATGCTATAAAATGCATACAAATTACGATATACAGTTGAACTTGCCTAAGTCAAATCCAAAATGGCATTAAAAAATTGTTTGACTTAAGATAAAATTTGACTTACAGTTCGTTAATTAATGGAAAACACAACAATTTGGCATGTAAACAAATTCATCAACGGCGGAAAAAAAATGAGGATGTTGTTATTAATTTGAAGGGCCTTAATGGGTAAAACAGACAATTCCATTATTTTTTATTATGCTTGATGGGTAAGTTTGAAGGGTACTTTGGCAATTATTAGTTTGTCTATACATCGTGCTCATAGAGTAACAACACCACTGATGATAGTGTTTTTTTTTTAGTATAATTTGAATTAATTTGTAAATCAGGGTTCACATATTTTTATTAAAGCTATTTTTCTTAAAGAATTAATTAGATTGTTTTAAATGTTTTTTTCGGACCAACAGATGTATTATATTGCACATTATACATTTTTAATATATTAAATTTACTAAATTAGACAGTAAATTATACATCTTTACCGGGTATTTTTGTTCATTCAATGGATATGCAAATTAGCATTGTCATTATTATGAAACAGTTGTGTGTTAGGTCTTAATGCAAATCGAGAATATTTTATAGACATCGATCAAACAAGTGAGCAATGAAATTAGTTTTGCTTTCTGCTAAAAATACACTAAAATATGCATTCAGTAATTGATAGCAGTTAGAGCTTAGAAACTGAAAGAGGAGCAGAAAGGTTATATGTGGGGTGTGAGGTTTAAGTGAGAGGGATCTAGCTGGGGAAATAAGTTGAGAGTTAATTTTCAAGTAATTCAGAGTGATTTTTCGACCCTGCAAATTGCAGTGGGGAAGGGGTGAGGTGAATTCAGAGCAGGGGGTAGCTCCCTGATCAGAGTAATTTTTTGGCTTGGCAAATTCCATTGGGGGATGGGGTGAGGTACCGAAGTTCACATTCTCAACAGTATTTTGTAGGATTAATGTAGACTGCTGGAACAAAGTAGAGAATTTATTAACTACAATAATTCTAACTGGAATTTGCTTGTTTTTTCATGTAAGAGTGCTTTTTGAATGTTCTAATTATTATTATTATTATTATTATTATACTGTACTGATCATTTTCCCAAGTTTTTGTGCAATTAATATAAAACAATGTTCTATCTTAATTCGTAGCAGTAAGTATTGTGTCTGAAATTTGCATGGCTATTTCGGCTAAATTATCTTCTATACTGTAGTTTTAAGTTACAGTCATATACGGTAGTGGAAAATTATAGAATTTTTGTATTACCTATAAAAACCATAATTAAATACTTGGAAATTGAGATATTAGGAAAGAAAAGCATCCCTGTAGAAGCGCTAACAATAAAAAAAATATAGGGATAAACTATTTTATTTATTTATGATTTCCCTTTAAATATAATAGTTAGTTTTCTGTAATTAATTTACGAAGACATTAAAATATTTTCACATATACTTAACAAGTTTTTGAATTTATGTATAGTTATTCCTTAGATATATACAGTGGTGCTAGTTTAATGGTTTGTGTTTCTTCTTAAAACACTGCACTATCCTCAACTAAAACTTTATTTTTTATATAAGTAGTTCTCTAATTGTTTATCTTATTCTAATTGTTGGCTCACAGCTCGATAATCATTAAAATGATGCTCAATTTTGTGACCGCTTGTTATTCATGGCGTTAACGCATTCTCGCTCCAGGATGCTATGAAATGGATAAGAATTACAATATACAGTTGAACTTGCTTAAGTCGAATCCAAAATGGCATTGAGAAATTGTTTGACTTAGATAAAATTTGGCTTACAGATCGTTAATTAATGGAAAATGCAATTTGGCATGTAAAATATGATCGAATTACAAATTATTAGAGTTAGGTAATGTCAACTTTTAGGCAAGTTCTACTGTATATGTGTTTTTGCTGTGGTTGTACGATTTTATAATAATTTTATAATGGTTTTTACATCTTTTATGTTCCTTAAGTTATGCAAATGTATAATTACTGTATCTCAAGCATTTTTATTTGTTTTCATATATAACCTGTAATTTCAAATAAAAAAAAATTGTCTTGCATTCTTGTGAAATGCTACAATGGTGTGAACTTTTTTAGAAAATAAAAACAAGAAATTAATTGCAGGGCAGTGAAATTTTATTTCAGTTACCTTATCATTGTCTATTCAAATGAAACATGACTTGCTATGTCTGAAATTATAAAGTTATGAGATCTATTTCATAATTTAGCAAGCAGAGCAACAAAACCATAACCATTAAGTTTCTAGCAAATGATATTTTTTTTGCCTAATTATACTATCAAAGGAAATTCACACACAAGTTAGCTAATAATTAAAGTATATCAAAATGGACAAACATGTACAGTAGTTTTCTATATGTAGAACTGTCAACAATACATTATGATCGGCTAAATTAGCATATAAAAATTCATTAACCGAAGAGGAAGACATACAATTACTAAAAATGATATAAAATGTTTGATCATGGAAAAATGTCTCCAAGCATTAAATAGAAATAATATATTATAAAAATTAAACAAACATTAATTAATATCAAAATCATTTTACAAAAGTTTTAAAAGGTATTATCTGTATCAAAATTCCATGAAACTGTATTGGGTAATTGCACACTAAAATAATAATGCAGTTATTTTAAGCCGAAATACTTCACACAATTTTGGTTAATGAGATCAGCAATTTTACAGTAATTGAAATTAATTCAGCTGTAATTTGTCTAGTGATAAAAAAATAATACAGTAATAATAATTAGGCCTGTAGTCAGGGTTTTTTAAGAGACCATTATTTATGACAGCCAGGGGTTCAGGTGGAACATAGGTACCAGGTGGGGTCTAGGGGAAAAGGCCTGGGGTGGAGCATTCTAGTGTGTAATTGGTAAATGTTATCATTTTGATGGTAAGGTAAAGGTAGGAGAATAACCAATAACTTGCAGCGACATTGTGCTGAATTGCATATGGTCCATGACTACCTAGCAGCCGTAAAGAGGCACTCATGGTAGCTACATGTTTGCATCATTCCAACGACAGAGACTGAAATGAACCATAACCTCGGGGTAACCCCCTACTCTTCCGAAAGATGCAATGGGTTCTTTAAAGTGCACACGAGCCAGATGTATACACTGGACCTCCATTTTAAGTCCTTGTCTGAGAAGACTTGGTTCTACCAACTGAACCATGGGCGAGGAGCTGCTGAAACCAGCGCTGATGTTAAGGCTGTAGATACCAGCGCCCCTGCTTTACCGCTCCGCCACTCGACTCGCCCGCATTGTATTCGATAGAAGATGGAAGTGGTTTGGTTTATTATTAGAGGAGGAGATGGCTTTGCTTAAAAGTGGGTTTGGCTGAACCATAGAAACCACCTGGTTATGTGCTTGATAATAATTATAATAATAAATATAACAGTAAGTAACTATAATAAAAACAATAATAATAATAATAATAATTACATTCTTCGTTTTACACAAAAAGTGTGAACTTAGTAAAAAATATACTTTATATCAAAATTGCAGTTGTATTATAGAAAACGATTTGATTCACTCAACACAGTTTTATGATCACTATTAAAACATAATGCTTAAATTAGATTCTTTAAATTAGCAATTTTGACTCTTAATTAACAGATGGTAAATTATTACTTTCTTCAATTCTAAAAATCTATTTATATCAAACAGTTCGAACTAGTAAACTTGTCTATTTACAGGCTAAATACATTTTCATATAACTGGAATAAAACTGAACATTCATATTTTGAATGTACAACACTTTGAAAGAGTTAAGGCATGCATGAAAATATACAGATTTTCTTCTAATCTACTGCTATTGCAATTAAACTGGTCTGTGGTGGTAAACAATAACCAGTCTTAATAAATAACGAGCAAAGAGAAAATAACTGCTACAGCATTTTATTTAAAACCTATCTAGTAAAAAGGTATAAAAGCCAGTTGGAAAAAATGTTAAATCTGAAAGTAATTGTGCTTAGCATCAACTCTGTTGAATGGATGAGAAGAAACAATGACCTTTGACACCACAGCTATTCATAATAGAAATCATAGTTGCTAGGTGGAGGAGGGATTGGTGGGCACTCCGATGGGATCTTGATGTTGGCAGTGTCCAGTAATCGTAGCTTCATCTCCATTCCCAACAGCGTCTTGAGGTCAGACTTCGTCTGTTCACTGGTCATCTCCAACCCTCGTAAAGCATTTAAACCATCCTTCCACATGTCTAGCTGCAAGTTAAAGGATATGATATTGCAATGAGATCAGATATCCTTAAAACCAACAAAAGAATAACTGACAAAAAATGAGGGAAAAAAGAGAACTAGATTTATCAGACCACATAATGAGTAGGCAACCAACTTACCCAACCAAAATTAATTAGCAGGGAGGAAAAATAATGTGTACTTCAAAGGGCATAGACTGGTTTCGGTGATAGAGGGAGGGGAGAGTTACGAAAATAGAGAATGTGGAACTACATCCCTATTCCAAAGAAAACTTTATTTTTAGTATTTTAACCCACTTCATAATGGAACCATTCCCGCCATAGGGTGGGGGGGGGGGGGGAGGGGCACCCTTCCAGCCGATACCCATGAGTTCAGATGCAAGGTTTTAGTATCAATCAGAAATATGGGGTTTCAACAAGCTTTTGAATAACAATAAGATTCTGCAATAAATGTCTCTATAATTATATGCCTGTCTACTTTATTGGCATCTGATGCGCAAGACAAACAAAATTTTGGATATAGCCCCCTCTATGTAGAAACATGTACAGTAATGGAGCACCCTCTATGTTATTTTTTTAATTGTAATGGTTGAACTACTGCTGATTAGAGTCATCAGTTGGTATAGCTTCATTGACAGAAATTTAAATGGCCTACATTCACATTTCAATGACGAATTCACTTCATTTTTATGAATTTTAGGGTATAATCGGCCTATAAATTCTATTTTTTATAAAATTCCTATGGTGCGTGAAATAATACAATAATAGGCGTGAGACGTAAAAAGTGGATACTCGAGCGTGAGCCTCACACATTATGCATGAGAGTTGGCAGGTGTATAATTATACAGAATGTGAAGTAAATATACTGTACTGTACTTACGGCATGGATATGCGGTACATAAATATCCACCGGACTGGTACTTGCATCACCTTGAATACTAAAACCAATTCTTTTCTTTACCTTCCTTTCAGTTCCAGAACCTATTGATGTTATTTCCCTTATTTCAACTATAAAAAAAGTATTTTAGTGTTTTTAAAAAATCTTAAAATTTTGAAAAAATATTTTTAAATTATTCGACCAAAAAACAAACATTTTCCAATTATTAAGTTAATATTCTTATTAACCGACCCTGATTTTGAATTATTATTGTGTTTTGAAAAAACACTTGGCCTTAGCATATTGCCGTACATGATTGGTGCTAAGAGAAAAGGTTAGTTCCGTTGATTAAATATAAAAACAAAGATGCTTACTGGTCTGCCAGTCTTCGTTATCTGTAATTGGTTTATCTTCTGGTACGGTTACATATTGCACATACTTTTGGTTTGGTGAGAGACGACAGAAAAACTGAACTAGAGAATATTTGCAAAAGTATTCAATTTATAAAATCTATATTACACAGATCGCAGTGATTATTTCCCTTTAGGCGAAACTTTTCTTATACCTTGTTTCGCAAGCTTATTTTTTAAAGATCGTCTGAGGAGGATGGAAAAAAAATATAAATCGTTGTACTATTACTATTGTTTGTTTATTAATTTACATTTTTATTAGAAGCAAAAGGCATCATTAATGTGCTTGAGTTTAGATATAATACTCTGATACCACAAATGCCTTATTGGTTGGAACATGATTGGTTCTAGCTACAACACTTGAAAGAAACAATAAAGTAATGCAAAACAATAGATTACCTGAAGTCCTGGTGGTGCCGGGGGCAGCTGTTCCTTGCATTAAATATTTCAGTCGTTGCTGTTTGATCAGTTCAATAATCTCTGGACGAATTTTATTACGAAGTTCACTTAAATGAAAAAAGAACCACAAATTTTTATTAGTATATGAAAGGTATAAGAATTGAAAAACTGTATTGTATTTCATTTGTTAGTGCCACATCTAGGCAGACTGTGCACTGTTGTGGGGCTGGGGGGGGGGTTGTCACTCCTCCATCACAACACGTTTGTTTACCTTCCCACTTCCTGTGGGTGGAGACATAAACCTAGGTAAAGTACCTTGCCCAAGGACACAAGTATAATGTGAATTTTTGAACTTCAAACTTGAGTGTCGATCAAATCGAACGTATTTATTAATTTGTAAGGCTATGCCTTTAAGTCAAATCAAATTCAATTATGAGTCAACCAAATATATTATGACCATGGTTACACAAATCAATCGTGATGTTGGTAGTCTATGAGTGAGATACTTACCTGGATAACCGACTAATTGCCATTGTTCCCAAAACGGAACATTCCTTTGAAAAAAATGGAACAGTCCGACCCAAGGCGCCACGTGCGAACCGTCTCCCTAACAAACGTTAGGGAGAAGGGGTGTTCCGTTTTGGGAACAATGGCAATTAGTCGGTTATCCAGGTAAGTATTCACGAAATAGACTTAAAGTGCAAACGTACACAACAGGAGCTGACTGGGAATCCATTTCTTCCTTGTTTGACCGTTCTTGTTGTCTGCGTCTCTGAATTTCACTGTAGTTGAGTGCTGTTAGCTTCGTTCTGAAGGTCTCAAATGTAGAAGGCTTGTCTTTCAGTGCATACTCAATCTGTTCCTTGACAACACTAAGAACCTGTGAGGTTGGGCGATTCAAATTAATCAGGGTTGTTCACAATTATTTCAAAGTGTACAAAGAGTACTCTTCTTGCCACCAACTAAAAAAAACTGTTGATTTTGCAAGACTGTTTTTCATAATGTTTTTACGTAGTAAAACAAATCAGTTCAAAAACTACTTTATTTTCAAATATTGCAGAGTAATTCAAATCAAAATGTTGGTGTATTTTAAAAGAATACAAAGGTATTGTAGCCCCTTTCCTACCATATTTTACTTTACAACATGAAAACATTTTTATTATTGTAATTTGCTACTAAATGTTAATATCGTAGTGTGGTATTAGCGCCCTCTATAATAGACCATTCCAAAGTGCCAATCAAACTAAACAACTAACCAATTTACGCATGTTATCCCATAAACACACACGTTTGCGTATGTTTTTACACTGTCGATAGAGAGCAGCCAACTCAGTCGGCTAAACTGGGGGCAGCCACTGTGTGTGCGCTGAAGCGTAGAGACTTATCGGTCCCTAGTTCAATTCCCATCGTCGCTCTCCTTGTATTTCAGCTGGGTGGCTAAAATGCAAGTTGCAATAGCGCACCGTCTTTCGGATGAGACATTTAAGCCGTTGGTCCGGCGTGCATTATGGCTATGGCCCATGTGCACGTTAAAGAACGCAGTAGGGGATTGTCTCCCGGTGTACTGCCCAATTCACCACCAGAAGGACCCCACTGGAAACAAGTCTTCGGACTTAGTGGGTTATCCTTGGTGTAATTCACACCAAAAATACTCCATACTCCAGGGACCTTAAACAGATAAATAGGTAGACAAATTTTTTAATTTCTATAGTTCCGGTTAAAACAGAAGTTGTCTCTAGCACTTTACAATATATTACACAATAAAGAGAAAAAATACAATAATAATTTAAAAAAAATAAATAAATAAAAAATAAATAAATAATAATAATAATAATAATAATAATAATAATAATAACAATAATAATACAGTAATAATAATAATAATAATAATAATAATAATAATAATAATAGTAATAATAATAATAATACTTAAATAATAATAAAAGTAAGAATAAAAATAATAAATATAAATAATAATAATAGGACCAATAATAATAATAACAATAAATCAATAACAATAATAATATTAAATATAATAATAATGATAGTAATCACACAAGAATAAGAAAATAATAAAAAAATAATAACAAGAACAACAAATGATAACAACAATCAAATAATAATTAAATAAAGAGAATTAAAAATAATAATAAAAACAATTAAAATTTGAAAGTAATGATCGTAGCAGTCACGCAGAAACTAAGGAGGAAAAGCAAGGGAAAAGAGAAAAGATTTGAGGTGAGATCAGCAACAATATCCAATGTGCAGGGCTGAGTGACAGACAGGTTCATATAGTGGAAGGCAGTCTGGCGTGGAAGTTTACAATGTAGTTAAAGTCATGGTAAGCATTTAAAGGAACATTCTGCAATCTTAGTGATAAAAATAAAAACATTAGGTAGTTTTCGCCACACGGCGTTAACCTTAACTTTAGTACCCAACATCCAACGCAATAACTCCGCCCCTTTTGTAAAGAAATCAAAATACGCATGCGCAAACCCGTAACTAACGTACGTCCAGCACGTAAAATCCTTAAATTAACGTACTTCGCAAAGCAAGATGAGTAAATTATGACGTCATCCGTTAACGTTAAGGTTAACGTTGTGCAGCCAAAACTACCTATTAACAAACCTTATCAAGGTCATCAACGGTGGCACGCATATCGCGCCAACTTTTGTTCAACAGTTGTATGCACACACAAAAGAATTCTTCAAAAGGCTTGTCACACACAAAAAACATTGGATGATAAGTTTGAGTGCTGTCGTCAGCTGTGATAAAAAGAAAAGATGACAGGCAACTGATAAGGCGAGATATTTTTATATACCTCCTTTCATCAGATCATCAGAGGGCGGGAAAAAAATAGAGCATTTTGTTTTCCTATTTAAATGGTTTTGCCAAAAACATCCAGACGGAGGAAAAAATAAAAATAAAATGTTATTGTTGAATTTAAACAGTGTAGTTATGGGATGCTTAAATGCTTTAAATTTATATAATTAGGAAAAAATAAAAATATATTTTTTTTTAAGCTTTCAAGGCAGCGGCATGCCTAATAAAAATAAAGAGGAATTTTTTTTTCTTCTGAAATTTCCATTTTTTCATGGCGGCGGGTTCTAATTGCCCAAAAATCAAATATTTTTATTCAAAGTCATTATTGTTGGGGGCAGCAGGTTCCCCTAAACAATGTCGCCTAATAGAGTGGACATAAGAGAAATTTTAACCTACACTATTTTTATAAATACCTTCCTTTTATAATCCAACTTTCCTATGTTTTCTTTCTTCCTATTAATGCATGAAGTTTGTATTGTAAATTTCACAATCGGAATAGAGCCAGGGTCCCAAGTTGCGGAAGTCAAATTCTTGGAGAAGTTGTCGTACTAATCAGTTTGAGTTTACGATGCGCGTACTAGGGAAAGCGCATGTACAAGGACAAGCCTGAACAAATATATCATCATGTTTACCATGAAAACAAAAAGGCTTGGGCAGGTTTTGGTCACTGTTTATACGTTACCAAGTATGTTCGATAAACCATATATCTGCCTCTGTTTTTAAGCATAAGAATGGGAAAATATAGCTTAGCCTAATTGTTAAAATTTGTTAAAAACACTGGAGAAATCCAGGAGAAGTTAAAATTCCGGTTCTGAGAATCTATCAGTCCTTGTTTAGTAAAATAACAAAGTGGAATAGAAAACACCTACGCATTTCTCCAACATGCAGTATGCTACAGAGTAGATTGGTCAACGCAATTCCGGTTCTACCAAACGGACACTCATGAGCATCTCCACGGCAAGAATTCTCAAGTACAATCTGAATGAACAAATAAAAAAAAAACAATCTAGTACAATATCATTTGGAATAATGTGTCCTGTACAGAAAAATGAAAGAGTAAGTATCCAGTTTGATTTATGGTGGTTGGTACAACAACTGATGGTAATACAAAGGTCTTGGATATAAATCTTCAGGCCGACAGTCACTGCACTCGATGGTCGCTGACAGACACGATTCTATTTAAGATTCAATGACACTATGCACGTGCAACTAGTCGTTTTTAATAACGATCTGTGCTGACTGCCATCAACAATTAGCAGACAGCGTTGCGTCAGATATTCAGCTTAGGAAGGCCAAAAATACCATCTGTTACTTAAATATAAGTTGATAAGAATATAGTACTGTATTTACCCGTGTATAGTTGCCTGTGTGTTCGGTGGCAAAGTAGTACATGCAGTTGAGGGCAAGGATTCCAGGTGGGGTCACCATGAAGTCATTGATGGGGCTCTCACAATCCTATAAATATAAACAATTAAAAGAAAATTTGTTTAAAATTAAAGAAAACTGATATTGCTAATAATAATAATAGTTTTTATGAAGTATGACAGTGTTTGTTATGTGCAGGGGTAACGTGCTGATGTACCCAATCCCCCTTTAGAGTATTCACCAACGTTTCTCAAGATTTAATCTACGGAAGATAAACATGACCTCCTATCCTCTGGACCCTATACCATCTTGGCTTCTAAAACAATGCCCCGATAAACTCCTTCCCACCATCTGTGACATCATAGATCACTCTCATCTGGATTAGTTTCAAATTCTTTCAAAGAAGCATGTTTAACGGCACAAATCCTCTCTAGACCGGGAGAGTTTAAATAACTATCGTCTGATTTTAACTTATGCTTTTTATTGCAAACGCTATTGAGAGATGTGTCATATAATTTGCACGGTAAGAGGCTTAATACCGTAAACACCATTCAACTGAGACCGCTCAAGTATGTTTCAAAATTGATTTACTTTGTGCGGTAGACATGAACAGCGAAGCACTACTAGTGCTGCTTGATATAACCACAGCATTTGATACTATAAACCTCAAGATACTACTGCAAACTTGCAAATCAATAGGAAGTTGACGGAACCATTCTCAAATGGTTTCAATCTTTCATGCTACACCGCACTCAATCTGTCGTCATTAATAACTCCAAATCATTAAACATGGGCGTAGGTAGATTGTGCGAGGTGAAAATACTAAACATGACCATTAATGTTTTCATTGGAATAGGGATTTAGTTCCGTATTCTCAATTTTCGCACCATGCAGTCAAAAACCAGCCAGTTGTAGATATGATAAATGTATGTAGATATGTAAATTTACCTGAAAACCAAGTTTTTTGAAATATTTGTTTGATTTCGCATCCATGTCGTTTCCAAATGCAATCCTTATCAACTCATAGATATCTTGTTGAAGTTCAAATTGCTATCAAGAAGTAAAAGAAACAACAATGAAAGTTAATCAACATACATCAAACGATAGTGATAGTAATAATATCATAAATTGTCTTAAATCAAAGTTTATTCCAGAGCCTTGGTCGAGTCCAGTGGACGAGCAGTAAGGTAGAGTCACCGCTAACTACAGCCTTTAATGTGGACGCTGGTTTAAGATGATTTTCGCCACAAGGGTTTGTTTGGTAGAACCAAGTCTACTTAAGCCTAAAAAATTTTTATTTGTTTGCCATCAACCGCCACCCCTAAAATCCCGAAAAAAAGGGGCGGTTTTTTTTCTTCTAAATTTCTTTTTTTTTAAGTTTTAAAGATCAAATGAAAACCGCTTTTTCGTCGATTTTGGCACAGATCCGTGTTATATGGAAATTCTTACCATTTTAAATTTTTTTTTAAACAAAAATATGACCTTTTTTCTGTGAAATCGCAGTTTTAACGAAGTTTCTATGATTTTACGAAAAAAAAAAAAACATTTTCCCACCTGCCCCTGTATTTAAATTTTTACAATTTGACAGCGAACAAACAAATTTTTTTTTAGGCCTTATTTATGGCCTTAAAATTGAGGTCCAGTATACATATTTGGCTTGTGTGCACCTTGCATCTTTCGGAAGAGCTGTGGGTTACCCCGATGCTATGGTTCATTTCTGTCTGTCGTTGTAGATGATGTGAACGTGAAGCTACTACAGTATAAGCATTCTTTATGGTGGCTAGGTAGTCACAATTCAGCAAGTTATAGGTTATTTTCCTACCCTCTACCCTCCCCTTTAACATGGGAATAGGAGACTTAGGCTGACCACTGGAGACTCATTCATGTGCTATAATATGAGTCAACCCACTCAACATTTAGTCAACATTTTTTCTGCTGTTATTTGCATTTGCTTAAGATTTAGATATATTTTCTAAATTATGCATGTGTCCTTTATAATTGTGGATTAATGGTCCAATGGTTAGAAGTCCAACTTACCTGTGTGTTTACATCAATTGGCATGTTCAACTTTTTATCTAAAAGGTTAAAGGTTAACTGTTGAAAGACGTAAATCTGATGAAGCATCTCACCACCGCTGGGCTGTAAACGGATAACTTTCTATTGGGATACAGAATAATGCCAGCAATGTTATAAAAAATATAATAGAATATACTGTAATAAAAAATAGAGATTATACTAATAATGCTATAATAATATTGTTACTAATAAGACAAAACTTTTTTATACCTTGTTTTGTTTGTAACTTATTTTTTTTTAAGAACATCCAAGGAGAGTGGAAAAAAATATAAAAATAATATTTTCTAATTATTTTTATTTAACAAATAATTTTGCCAAAAACATCCAGATGGAGGAAAAAAATAAAAATAAAATGTTATTGGTGAATGTAAACAGTGTAGTAATGGGATATTTAAATGCTTTAAATTTATATAATTAGGAAGAAATTTACATATCCTAATTTTGGAGATTTCAAGGCAGTGGGAGGCATAATAACAATTGTTTTTTTTTTTAACTTTTATTTTTTTCCAAAATTTCCATTTTTTGTGGCGGGGGATGTGCTACTTGGCCAAAAATTAAGTCCCACCTAACATTAACAATTCATTGAATACTATTTAAAGCAATCAATAATAATCATTAATAACAATAATTAACGCTATAAAGATATGAATTTGCATCAGGAAAATATCATAGGAGTGATACTAACCAAAAAAATTCACAACTGATTCGGGTGGAAATCGAACCCACAACCCCCCCAGGTATCTAGCCTGATGTTCAAAACTGAATCACTTGCAAATTTTTTTTCCCTAGTATTTGGGGACGTACTGAGTATTCGGTACGATAACACGTCAGGTAGGGCAAAACATCATTAATGGTTAAAGATAAACCAATAATAAAATACTTTTAAAACACAGAATATCAGTCTGTTAATAGTAGAACTGAGCATGAAGTGGTTTAAAAGCAGTCCATGTGAAGGGTTTTGGAAGCACACTGGAAACATCAAAGTTTGGGTGCGGCCCTTGGTGTTAAATCAAACATTGTCTTTGGCCCTCTGACCCACTTTTTGCCCACCTTTGTTTATAAGAGTTAAGCAAAATGGCCTCACCTCAAGAATTGCTGTTCTTACGTCTTTTGAAACAAGAGAATCTTCAAATCTCTATTTTTGAAAAAAGTTAATTAAACAAAGTATTATAACCACAAAAGGTTTAAGTTCTCTTTACATAAACTGAAACAAAACTTTGATTTTTTTTTCACAGTGAATAAAGGGGAGGCGCTGGGCCAAAATGATTAATTAAACTTCGTAGTACAATTAATAAAAACATTGTTGGTGAAGTTTTCAAAGCTTCACCCAGCAACATAGTTAAAAACCAGCATTGTAAATCCTTCACCAGACTATCAAATTTTAATTTGACAAAACAAGTCGTATGCCTAAATACCGTCATGATGACATCACGTCATGCCGATACACAGACACGTCATGACTATGTACGGGCATACAACAGTTTTTTGTCAAAAACAAATTTGATAATGTGGACAAAGGTTATAGAGTACTACAGTGTTACGTCACGATACCAAGTGATACTACTCCATTGCTATCGTTTCAAAATGCGTTCAACTTGACGCCATTTTTGCCACTAACAAACCATTGATCCCAATTCTAACGTAATTATGAAGATGTTGTATCTTAATTTTTCCTTGTAAATTTTAATTGATGTTTAAATGTGTGTTTGAAAACTAATATAACATGAGCTTTTGTGTTTTTAGTACATTTTGATGGTAAAATATTAGATTTTAAAATGCCTATTCCAGAAAGTCTATGCAGTCATTCAGGCGTAATGAACGATACCCTACGTCTGTTGACAACAGAGAGTACCACCTAGCGTTGTGACGACACAACTGTGGTACTCTATATGGGACTGATATTTTTTATAAGTTTACGGAAAATATATCTCACTTATTCAGCACAACAAGCTCCAACAATGCGAGTACTTTTTATGTGGCTGAGGCTTACTCAAATTACAAAGTATTGAAAGATAGGGAAATTATGGGGCGGATTGCTATAAAACGGTCTTAACTGGCAGTGTCCTCAAAAAAAGCCGACTTTATCACTTAGACGGTCTTACAAGCACTCTCTGGTAATACAAAAATCGAGGGCGCTGTTACACATACATCACGCTTACTCGATTTATGTATACACATTGCACATGTATCAAAATGAACGTAAATAAATGACGACTTGATTTTACAGTCGCTGAGAAGTTTGTGGAATATTTGCATGATTTGTTGACAATCTAGGCCAGGTCTAACACCTGTAACGCCAAGATGAAAATGATAGACCATTTTAAGCCTCCACCACGCAGGCTTTAAAATTTAAGATGGTCATCTGGTTAGACCGCGGTATAGCAATGGTCTATAATCGTAGACCAGTAGTGACATCACGATTATAGCTGGCTAAGCGTTAAGACCGTCTAAATACCGCTTATAGCAATGTGCCCCAGATTTTTGGAAGCTAATGACAACTGCAGCAGAAAATATAATGTAAAAATTAGACACTCTTACATGAAATCAACCAATCATTTCACATGTGAGTGTTTTTATTCACTAAATTGTTAGACTTATTCAAACATAATGTATAAAAATCAACTGCATGAAAAATTAATTTTACCTTTTTCCTTTCAGGAGGCGCTCTTAGGTACAAAGCATTCATCAGTGCAATACTACATTGTTGAATCTCCGAGCCTCGACTATGAACAAAAACGCAAACGATTATGGCTTTTGATATCAAAGATTTAGAATGATTCGATCATTAATATATTATTATTTTTATTCATTATCTCAAACCTATACAATTCAAGAAATCGACCCAAGAACTTGAAAAATAGAGGAAGGCAAAACAACTATAGTAAAAGAATTGTTTACTGTATGTATTCCTTTAAATAATATCAGTCTAATTCAAATATGTTCAGCAATATTAAGTAAATAATTTTTTTTTTATTAAGTAAATAAATTTTCAGCAATACAAATTAAATTATCATTAAAAATATAGCTCACCTCAGATGGGGAATAAGGTCATCAAAGAGAATATTGTTGGCAACGATGGTATATAAAGTTTGACTAAAAAAGATAAATAAAAAAAAATTAATATAATTAACATAACTATAAAATTTTATTTTGTCTCATTTATATAGTTTAAATTTCTTTACCTGAAAATTAGCAAAAATTTATAAAAATAACCTTTGAAATTAACTTGCTCATTCTAAAGTAAGTACATTATAGAATCACTAATTACAGGCGTTTCTATTTTTGTTATGACTTTCATGTGTTAAAATTAAGGGTAAACAATTTTAAATACATTTTCTATGTCCCGTTTGTCATATTACTTTAAATTGGGCAGACAATTTTTGTTATGCTGTTTTCATGGATAATATATCTTTAACTTCAGAGCAATATATGCTTTTGTTGTTGATGGTTTTGACTTAACTATTAAGCGTTGGTGATACTGATGTTTTCCAACCTCGAGGTTGGGGTTTCAATTTGACATAATTTATGCAGCAAACTATGGAATTTCCCCCATAGGCATCGTTCCAATGACTGGGGTAATAATGTGGAAAAGCGCTCTGAGACTTAGTCGAATAGAGCGCTATATAAAAAGCTGCATATTATTATTATTTGTTGTTAATAAACATTGAAAAAAGTTTAAGACATTTTCACATTAAGCTTAAATCAATGAACAAATATATGGGACTGATTTAAATAAAATTAAGTAGAATATATATCTCACCTATTTAGCACAACAAGCTCCAATAATGCGAGTGCCTTTTGTGTAACTGTGGCGTCTGAAGGGCCCTTTGACTTCTTAGCATACTCTGTCACCTAAGTAATAAAACATATTTAAAGAAATGTTACTTATAAACATTGATAAAACTGCTCTCGAGTCTATTAAACTTATTTTCAAAAATTCTTTCTAACATGGATAAAAACTATAACACAAGTATCTCATACTTTCAAGATAAAAGAATTTGTCAAAAGCATAGTTGAAGATGACACAGAGTATGCTAAGAAGTCAAAGTGCCCTTTGACTTCTTAGCATACTCTGTCACCTAATTAATAACAAAAATAATGAATGAAATGTTTATATAAGGCATCTTTTATTCAATCACTGTAAAATTAAAATCTTAGTAGCAAAGAATGAATTACATTTTGAAAGTACAGTACAAATTCGGCAAATTAATAAATTAATATGTATATACAAATCCATAAATGAGTAATTAATAAAATTAGCTATGCAATTTACAACCGTTAATACAATAAGACACAAAAAAATGTCAAAAAACAGTTAAAATACGCCTGGTTCTCACGAGAGCCCTAGTATCCGGATCGGGAGCTAACCGTTAGCGCTAACCATTAGAACCTGCGTGAGAACGCCCGATCGGTTAGCTAACCGTTAGCGGTATCCGGATACGCTAACGGTTAGCAAGCGCTATAGGTTAGCAAGTTGAGGGCGTTTCTATCATCAACCAATCACACGTACGCGTTTACAATTTCCAGTTTCTTATTGGCCAGTGATTCGATCATCATATTGTTGGTATCCAGATCAGGATTTTCTCGCATGAACGCACGGCAGCTAACAGTTAGCAGGATCCGGATCCTGCTAACTGTTAGCTGCTGTGTGAGAACATAGCCAATGTGTACTTATGCACCTTGGTAACTGTACTCAATACTGTAAAATCCTATTTTTGAATCATTCTTTCTAGTGACTTGGGTAGAATCTATACTTTCTGATGCTTCTTAAGATGTGTTTGCAGTGGATTAAGTTCGGTCAACCTGAGCATGTACTTGGACACTTTGAAAAAAATAAATAAATCAAGATGCCTAGAAAGTGTAACTAAGGGAACATTGGCCAGGAAGAATAACCATACTGTTCCTCTAGAGAGGAAAAGTCTGATGAGAACACATGCTAATACTATGTTGATTTTAGTATTACTATGAAAAGGTAAAAGGTCATTGCAGTTTGCTTTTTGAAATTTAATCCGTCTTTATTTCAATCATAATGTGATTTATAAACTTTTTAAAAAACATAATTTCTAGGCCAAGCTTACCTGACTGACAAACTCTGGTGATAGTGTACCCCATGGGACTAGCCCATGTTCCATGATTTCAAGGATTGCTGTTAAAGAATGTGCTAGCACGGCACCAGGCCTAAAAAATGAAATAGATAAAAAGACATAATAATTACAACTGAACACACATTCCAATTTAAATATCCTAGGTTCAAAAAACAATGAGAATGTAGTGTATCATTTTATATAACTTTTTTTAATAAAAAAATTATTATGGCATGGTAAAAAGCACTGATCTCTACTTCAATAGCTGGATTGCTCATTGGCTGGTTTCGTGAAGCCACCAACGACATGTTGGGAAGCTCCAAATGTCACAAATACGTCATCACAGCTCAAAAATTTTGAAATGGCATGACGATCACAAACAACGCAACATCATTTGTGCTTTTGAAAAAATCATTTCGTAGTATTTCAGGAATCGTCATTTTTAACAATAATAATAAACTAATGCAAACTAAAACTTGTCTAGACTTGTATGTCACTTGGGCTCTTGCATACAGCATCTTTGGCCTCAGTTTTACCTGTACAGTGAATGGCCAATGAGTGATCCAGCTATTAAAGTAGAGATCAGTGGGTAAAAACATGCGAATATAATGCTTATGCAAGAGACGGATAAGTTTCCGGACGATTTTTGCTTGCCTGCAGGAGAGCACAAAGTCTAAAAAGTCTCATTCAAAAGACAGTGCCCTAACTTGTATTTCAGGCCTCTAGCTGGAACATGTGAGCAGCTGATGGAATTGAACTGGTGACCAACACTATCTTCACGATTCAGCACACACACATTGGCTACCGCTAGTTCAGCTCCCTAAAATTATTAAATTCTAATTATTAAATACTTACAAGTTTCCACTTTCTAGGAATCTTAATAGCAGTTGAACCCCATGCTCTTCGATGAAGAATTCTACGAATGTAAAGTCCAAAGCACTCATGGCAAGCTGTTTGAGAGCCTCACGATTCTCTTGCTCTTCTTTACTATTCATTCGACCAATCAATCTATGAACTGCTTTCCTCTAATTTACACAAAGAAAATGAATATATTGTATTTAACTATATTTTATTACATATTTGTGGACAGACAAGAGTAGATGGCACTGGTTTTAATAATTTTAATAATAATTCTTTATTGGTCCTCATTCTAATTGGAAATATAAAGTAAAAAACAGCAGCACTTTTGAGACTAACGTAGTCTATGTCAAAGTCAATGATAAAAAACAGTAAATAGGCAGTAAATACAGTACATAGACTTATTCTGTATGTTATTTCCCACAGTTTCTTATCATTGATCTTTTGTTCTTTTAATACTGTTTATTTAGATTCCTTATTTTGGCAGACTTGTATTTGCTTTGTACACCATTCTTTGTTGTTTTAGGACCGCCCCCATTATTTCAGTTGTATATTATAGTTGTTTCTTATCCCATTTGTACAGTCTCCTGATGAAGTCCACTGTGTGGACGAAAGCTAGAGAATAAATTATATATTGTTAGTCTCAAAAGTGCTGCTGTTTTTTACTTTATACTTTCTATACTGTACAGACTAACGCGGCTATACTTTTTATTCATTTAATTGGAAATATGAAATTTGGGCTGGGACTTTGGGGACCCGCGTCAGCTGCAGTGTAGCGCCACCTGACTTAACTACAACATATTGCGGACACATACGGATACAAACTTGTCCTTAAACCCGCCTAATTCTCAATATGAGGGTTATTCGACGAGCAAAGCGATACTGGCCAGGTTTATACTAGGATCTTCGGCACAAGAGGCAGGAGACAACAACTCTCAGCCAACCACTCAGACACATACAGAAGAGACACTTAAGTTACTGTACGAGCCAGTCCATGCTTTGAGCCCTATGAAACTTCAGCTGCATTTGCATTACAACTGAAATATCATGTTATATGGTATAACTGTTCCACTGTTCTGAATATTTAAAAAAGTGATTTGAAAAACAAATGTATTAATTAATCTGATTTCGATGATCAAGAATGATCAGGGGTGGATCCAAAATCTTTGAAACAAATGGGCACCAATTTCATATGGGCCTAGATGTAATATATACAAATAAATAAGTATCAAACATTGGTTCGAGTTCAGTATATGCTGTTAGGAAATATTGTAACATTTACTATTTGTATGCAATTTTGTATTTTTTTTCGGTTAAAAAAATAAAAGACAGCACTGGCAAACCTGGAGGGTACAGTACGTCCCCCCTCCTCAAATCTGCACTAGGATTTTATGATTATTAGGGGGATGATAATGGGGAGATTTTGAAAGCTAATGACAACAATATCTGCTGATGGTGATGTTGATTACTATGGTAGAGTTTTGTCCAAACATGGCTAACAAAAAATTTCGAAAATCTAATGCAGGCTATTTTCATTTATTGAACAAAATTGTTTGCAATCTAAAATTCATGTACGATGTTTCAAATACATCATTGTTATCATTGTATTTACCAAAAGGCATGGGTTGATCAGTTATGGTTCGCAATGAACCCTAAACCTAGCCCTAAGCTATATAGGAAAGAAAATTCTAATTGCAGACTGATCCTGAATTTTAAAATTCACTTACTAATTCATTTACTTTTGGAAGCACAACAATTAAATCCTTGATGATAACGAACAAGAGGATGATTATTAAGATAATGAATGGTAATACAAAGTAGATATGATGATGATAGCGATGATGATGATAACGATGTTGGTGATGATGATAATGTTGATTGTGATGATAATGATGATGATGACAAAAACAATGATAATGGTGTTAATGTTAAAGGTGATGTAATGATGTTTATGGTGATTATGATTGGCATGATAATGATGCTGGTAATGATGATACAATGATGATGATTATGATGAAGATAATAATAACAAAAATGATGATGACAATGGTGGTAATAATGAAGGTGATATAATGGTGTTTATTGTGATGATGATTATTATGATCATGATTCATGATGATGATGATGACTAATAATTATCAATTTCTAAGATTATTATGATGATTACCACTTACTGGTGATTCAGACAATGTCAAAACAATGCCATTTCTCAGTTTGTTGCGATTATTCTCAGTTATGTAAAATGACGTTTCAGTGTCCACCAAAGCATAAGAGGATGGATCCTTTAATCCCCACGACTGACTGAGATTTTCCACCATTTGTTCCACAGACATACCCTAAAAAATATCCCAACTATATATTTTAAAGACATTTTATCAATTGTTGTACAGCATTTACAGGCACTGTCCAAACAGTCATTACTAATGTCACTGATTTACACACTGGATGTTAGGCGAAACTTTTTTATACCTTGTTTCAGCAGACCTGCTGCCCGCCAATACAAATTTATAATTTTGAATAATATAAAATTTTATTTTTGGCCAACTAACCACGTAAATAAAAATGGTTCGAAAAAAAAAAAAATAAAAGGTTTTCTTTATTTTTATTACGCCCCCTGCTGCCTTGAAATCTCCAAAAATAAGATATGTATATTTCTTCCTAGATAAATTTAAAGCTTTTAACCATCCCATCACTACACTGCTTACATTCACCAATAAAATTTTATTTTTATTTTCTCCTCCATCTGGATGTTTTTGTCAAAACCATTTTATAAATAAGAAAACAAAACTTAATTTTTTTTTCCGTTCTCTTCTGATGATCTTTAAAATACATAAGTTTGTGAAACAAGGTATAAGAAACGTCTTGCCTTACGACTTATGATGATTAAAATTATACTGTGTCTCTGTTGCCCAGTTTATCAACTACCAAACAGTAATTAATCGGAGAATCATTAGACAGGGGCAAAAAGTTGTGTACTGCAGAAAAAATGTCATGCCCCAAAATTCATTAATAGACTATGAAGAGATATAGTTTTAATGCTCATTCTGAATTTTAATTATTAGTAAAAACTACCATATTAAATACATTGTTTTTAACAATATGACTTCTTTAAACATACCGGGTTAACGACAAGGAATTGGGGGTTTTTGTCTGGCATTGTTACAGCGAATCTGATCTCTGAGATACAAGAAAGACGTCCTGGAGTTATCTGCGCCATCTTGATTACCTGAAAACATCGTCCAAAGAAAATTATTTAATACTAGGTTTATAACAATTATTATTCTATCCTTTCGAATGTAGACACTAGGTTGTTTGTCTCTCCACCCCTTAATGTAAAAATCTTCAACTATCAGTTGGCAAATGTGGATGTTCAGACTATTCAATTTTGGGCGCTAATGCACTTTAGTACTGTAACACTTCTATCTTCAAAACTTGTCTTTTTACCTACTGTGTGCTCCTAACAATATCTTACGGTGTTTCTTCATTCAGATTCTGCTTAATAACATCGGTTTTTAGCATTTTATTACTAAAAACCACTGCCTATGGCTCCAACCGTCATCTCCAATGGCGAATTGGCGATCGAGCCTAATGCTGTTGCCAGAATTCAAACTTTATGATTTGGTGTTGCCAGAATTAGTAAATCAAAATGAAGCTTCAGATATTCTGGACTTATTGTAGAGCGCAAGACTCCACTAAAACAGTATGACAATTTTGATGGCTCGTGAAAGAAGGGAAAAGGAAGGCAGCAGCACATGCATACATTATGAAAGAATGTATACATAAATATATGTAGGTCCTAAGTGCAATGTCCTAAGTATAATAATGGCCATGATTGACAAATGATTGATTGAAATAATTTTTGGGTCTAAATATAATAC